TTTACTTTAGAAAGTGGGTTAGCATCTTTGTTTAAGTTACATAAATAGGCTTAGGTACACGTAATGTGTAACAGCGTTAATGTGACATTGTAGATTGTACGACGTTTTCATTATCAGAAAAAAGTCAATTTATTGGTTCAGTTGTGGACATATTGTGGTTGACTAATGAATTGTGAAAGTAAAATTTATTATTAAGAAATAATTGCATAACATTGATATCACACACCACAGTGTGACACGGCATTATAAAGCATGGCCTCACAATCACATAGCCCACATAGGTATTAAATACTACCCAAGAGAGAAATATATTTATTATAATACAACGTATTTTATTCACGTAGGAACATTATTGTTTAAGAAAAAAAATGTTTATAATTCAAATTTATTTAAAAAACACTATCGATATCGACTCCAGATCGGCTCTTCACTATAAGCTCGAAATGTAAAAACGAAAACCAAGTACCTCAAGAATACAATGAGAGCGAGCAGGTGAGCGACATTAACCCGTCCCTTTCTAACGTCTCGACAAACGGCGGCAACTAACCAAGAGATCCGACCTAAGCTTAGGAGTCTGGGAGGTTTTGTACCACGAGGCTTGAATGTGCACAAAAGCCTAACGCCACCAATCTCTAACTCGTGCATTTCCTAGAAGTTAATGAACTGGTACTTGCTTCCTTATACGTATTTCTGAGAGGCCTAGAATGCCTAGCGTACCTACCTAGTAGAAATGTGCTAACAGTAGTGCAGACTTGCGGACAATATTTAGTGGAAACTGTACTAAATACATAAATTTTGTGAGGTATTTGGAATCTTAGCCCGTTGTAGAATACCTACTGACTATTGTATTGTAACAATATTTGGTTCAAAGCAGCGAATTGTTTGATACGGCGTGAAAGCGATTAAGCACGTTCGACTGGCCTCTAACGTAATAATGAGGCATTCTTTATGGTTGAAGATCAAGGGCCTTCATTCATTACTCCCAACTCCGTTCGCTTAATATTATAACCGGTTGGCCTAACTCATAATATCAACTCAACTTGTACGAATAATCCTAGTATACACAAAACAGAAAACAATTTAATTAAGTATTAAAACACATTTGCCAGGTAAGTAATCCACAAGAAGTTTATAGTAACATAAGTTACCTGTGATTTTGTTAAGCTAATATGGGTGTTATGTGTAGATGTGAAAAGCCCTATTTCGGTTATTATCAACATCGCGACATCGGTCTGATAAATTGGGTGACGATGGTTCTGAGGTTTCGCTGAAATTCTATAATCTGACGTCATTCTATGATTGTTTGGGCTATTGCATATCTAAGTAACTATGAATGAATGAATGAATGAATATTCTTTATTGTACACCATAATAATAAAAACATAGGAAACATAAACACAAAATATAGTACAATTGGCGGTCTTATCGCTTAAAAGCAATTTCTTCCAGACAACCTTTGGATGGAGTTTAACTGTAGAAGAATTTGATACGGGCAGTTTACGGCGTACATATACATTATAATAGTTTAAAACATAGTTTAAGGATATATATATATATAATAAATAAACAAATAAGAAATTAAATATATATATATATATATATATATATATATAAATAAATCATAACAATAGTTATAGCGATGATGGATATGTTACTGAGCCATGTAGTGATCGTTCACCATTTTCTTAAAAACTGCTAGCGACTGCGCACGTCTAATCGTCACTGGCAAAGCATTCCACAGACGCGTGGCCTGTACAGCAAACGACTTATCATAAAAAGACGTGGAGTGTACTGGCATCTTCAGTTTCAGGTTTTCCGATGACCTAAGAGATCCTGAATGCGTGTCACAGACAAACTCAACACGATTTTTGAGGTAAAAAGGAGTCGTTGGGTGAAAAAGAATACTGTATAGTAAGGAAAGTATGTGAGCATTCCGACGAAGTCGTATTGGAAGCCACTTGAGCTTAGCACGAAATTCTGACACATGATCATACTTGCGCAAACCAAATATGAATCTTATACAAACATTTTGAAGTCGCTCAAGTTTATTAAGTTGGTCCTCTCTGAGATCAAGATAGCTGGCATCGGCATAGTCAAGAATGGGAAGAAGGAGAGATTGTGCAAGCGCAACCTTTGTGGCAATGGGCAAGAAGTTTTTCAGCCGTCTTAAGGATCCTACAGATGCAAATAACCGTCGACTGGTTTCCTGAATCTGCGTCTCCCAGGACATTCTGCTATCAATGTAAACTCCTAAGTTCTTGACCTTATTGCTAAACGGTACCTGGATGCCATCAAAAATAACCTGCGGGAGGTCAAACCAGTCAATTTTAGAAACCATCCGTGAACTACCAATAACAATCAACTGGGTTTTTAGCGGATTGACTCTAAGCCCGTAGCATCTGCTCCACTCGGCTATTTGGGAAAGGTCTTTATTAATAATTCCAATAGCCTCTGGTAATTTTCCCAATGGAGCCTGCGAGTAAATTTGAAGATCATCTGCATAAAGGTGGTAGGAGGAAAGCAAATTGTTTGAGATAGAGTTAATAAATATAGCAAAGAGCAATGGAGATAAAACGCCACCCTGCGGCACACCAGCAGTCGTTTCACACCATGAAGAGTATTTATCTTCAATGCGAATACGTTGCCGGCGTCCGTACAGGTAACTACGAAACCAATCAATGGCCGTTGGAGATATGTTAAGGGAGCTAAGTATACCGAGCAAGATATCGAAGTCTACGGTATTAAATGCGTTACTGAAGTCTAGCAGTGCCAATACCGTTAACTTGCCACCTTCCATACCTAGTCTGATATCGTCAGTAATGTTGACTAGCGCTGTGACAGTACTGTGACCAGGACGGAAACCGGATTGAAAGGGATTAAGAAGTCTATTCTTGGATAGGAATGAGCTTAGCTGGTTATGAATAAGACGTTCTAAGACTTTGGATAGGAATGGTAATATGGAAATAGGACGATACTCGGAAAAGGATGTGGGATTGGATTTTTTTGGTAATGGGGTAATTTGGGCCTCTTTCCAGGAATTCGGAAAAGCACCAGTGGATATAGAATAATTAAGGATGTGACATATTACAGGAAGGATTTCGTCAAGGATAGGGAGGATCATTTTACGGCTGACACAGTCACTTCCAACGGCATCAGAGGTGATGGATAAGATGCTCTTCTTAACATCACAAGCGGCCAATTGATGGAAGAAAAAAGGTGAAAAATCAGGGGTTGGAAGACTGGAGAGATGACTTAAAGTTTTTAATTTTGTTGTCCTGTCGAAATTAGACGAAGATGAAAAATGACGATTTAGCAAATTTATGTTTATATTTTGAGACATTTTATCGGTACGTGACTTTCCAATCCCCATTGATCGAAGAAATCTCCAGACCTTAGCTGGATCCTCATTTTCAACAGATGTGTGGAAGTGTTGGCGTTGTGCGTTTCTACACACCTTATTGCAGAGATTTCGTGCATTTACAAATTTTTCCCAATTGGAAGGCGTAGTACGAGCCCTGTATCTCGATTTAGCAGAAACCTTCTGGGCCATTAACTGCTTTATTTCGCTTGTGAGCCAAGGCGATGGCAGGTGTCTCACCCTAATCGCGCGAACAGGTGCGTGGACGTCATAAATTGCTACTAGCTTTGACGTAAAAAGGTCTACTTTTTCGTCTACTGACTCAGCATCAAGAACAGATGCCCAGTCCGTATTAGCGGCGCACTCGCGGAGATTTTCAAGATTTATGCCACCAAAATTGCGCTGCAGAAGAATTCTTGCCTTTGCTTTGGGAGGACGAATTTTATAAGAAAGATAGATGAGATCGTGATAAGAGAAAGCATCAGCCGAACATTGGCCATGTTTGGCGACGTGATCAGAAGATGATACGAAAATTAAGTCAAGAAGTGAAGGAGTACAGTTAGGGAAATGATGAGTTGCATTTAGAGGAAGTATTGATAAGTTGGTAGAATGTATGACAGAATTAAGAGATGCAGATCGAGAATCATTTTTAAGAAGACAGGTGTTAAAATCACCCATGATAATGACGTGACTGTAAGAAGTTACTACATTTTCCAAGAGTTGTTCTAAAGAGGTAAAGAAATTTATGCGTAGTGAGGGACAGTAATAGACTCCAAGTAGAACTTTGGTGTGGCTCATATTTAGTTCCAGAAAGAGATGCTCGCCAGCGTAACTATGTATGTCACATATAAAATTTATATACTTAAATTAAATATAAAGTTACATTTAATGTAAGCCTCGATATTTAATTAGGTATTAAAAAAAATCTATAGAAAAACATTGAGATTGAGTGTAGGTACCTAGGTACTTGCAAATAATAATATAAGAATCATTAATAATCATGAAGTGGATTTTCTTTAGGTTAAAAATTAAAGATACATAATTATGTATTACCTGTGATATTCACTTTAAGTGCAAAGACATTATTAATCATAATTTTGAGTAGGTAAGTAGATACCTAACGTGTTGATATCGAGCAGTAAGAGAGAGTGGTCATTGTTACCCCGTAGATGATAGAAGTATTAGTGACGCCTAACTGGAATTAATTAGTCTACATTACCTGAGTCTATTAATTAAATAATTAAATATTTCACTAATTATAGATACAGGTGCGCCCTCTCATAGAAGTTGCTGGTTTTAATAACAACCTACGAGTCCGAACGTTGAGTAACAACCTGCAGCGTAACCTCCACAGACATTGGAGGCATTTGTTATTAATTCAACAAAAATTTTGTAGATGGCGTTCTTCTACAAACGCTCAGCACTGGCTGTTTATAAAACGTAAATTCTAAATGCACAAAAATAGCAATTCTTTTGGCATATTAATTAATGAGTCAAAATGTCACTCATCAAAATTACGGCTTAACAAATTTAATATTCTAATGGAAATGTGAGCTTAAAAAAATAAAAAAAATAATAATTTGCGAGGGTGGCTCGGCACGGGGTAAAAACGTATATGAGGAAGAGAAAGGGAAAGATCAAGATGGACTATCGTGCCCGACGAAATCGAAGAATACGAGGCCGCTCTTGCAACCCCTCTTGTATGGATATTGGCTCGGAACAGTGCAATAAACCTTGGAACTTTATGAGCAGTTGCTATAGCTTCCTAATATTGTCGAGTCTTATAGGCGTCATTTATCTCATGTTAGATTACCACTGCATCACGTGCTCCTCGAAGTGTGATTTAAACCATATCAACAAGAGAATTGAAGACATTTCGGTAAATCATTTAAACATTAATAGATGAATTTTATGTTCTTAATGTTAAGCTGTTTTTATCATTGCCAAAACTAAGCTAAATTTCATTTAGCAAATTCGTATAGGTTAACGAATTATAATATTTGTACTCGTATTCTCGTTACAGAAAAGTTTAGCTGTTATGAAAGACAGTTATTTCAATTTGGAACTGAAGATGTCTCGGGTTTCTCAGGAACTACCGAAACTGGAAGGACAATTTGAAGTAATAGAAGCACTAGCTAATGCGCTGGATAGTAAAGGCGCAGCCTGGGATCCAAGAACAAGCCTCCCTCTCCCCAACGTTGGCGTATGTCTAAATAAACCCGCGAATGCCAGCAAATGCGGATGCAAGAAGCGGTTTTCCAAGATTATGGCAGTCAATTGAAAGTAATAAGCAAACAGTTAACGTCGGAATAAAAAATGAAAACAGATAAACTATTAAAAAAAAGTATATTTTACAAAAATAAAGTCATAGTATCTTCTAGCGTGTCTTCAATTCTCACATTTACCTCACACAATATCTGAAAAATATTTTACGTAGTTGAATTGATAAAATTCAAAAACAGAAAAGGGAGCCTATTGGTATATGCAAGGATTGTTTGATTCATTTTACTCTTTTTTGTAACAACTATTTGCTTCTGATTTTCCGCATTGGCAGACGTTTTTGCTTAGTTCATAGTTTTTATTACAATCTAAATGGTTATATGAATGATGGTGTATTTTTTCATTTAAGGGATGTCGCTCTAATTCTAGTTTCGATAAATCTGACATGACTCCAACAGATTTGTTGCTGCATTTTTATGTATGGTATTCGTTCTCTTATATTCAGGACCGTCATGTCCAGTTTGTTTATCTGAAATCATTAAAATTCGTGGACCAGCCCCAGATGTCTTTGTTACAACTGTTTGTACTTGAATATCGTTTAATTTTCTGTGTTCTATACTAGGTTCAGTCTTACATCTGTCTTTCGCATCTCTTTTGTGTTTACATTCTGGTCGCAAGCGCTGCCTATCGTCAACTATCTTGATTAAATCTTTCAGTTCGGTGTGAAGATCATCGTATGCTTTTCCTATGTTGGTTATTGTATCCTAGAAAACGAATAATAATTTTAAAACTATCAAAGAGTGGTCTATGGTATAGATAAGAAAATTGGTTACCTTAAGTGAATGTAAACTGTGTTTCATGTTAGTTAGTTCGCTTTGTAGAGTAAATCTTTCCCAAAAATTTATTGACAAATGCCCCAGTAGAACTACAACGGCAAATACAAGAAAGGAACGGACATAAAGATTGTTTAATGACTTCCTTATGAAATCTATTTGTAAAGGCATTTTAACAAAATTTCGGTTCACGATCATTGCTAATAATATTTGATAGTTTTAAATTTTCCAAAACAACACTTGTGAATTTATTTTCGATTTTTTTGCCCTTGTTGTGTTATCTTAACATGTTTTTTTGAGAATAGAGAAGATAGAACATGTTGCGTCCATCATTAGGTTGTCAAGTATGATAAAAGGTCTAAGTATGTATCATAGTTGCTGGATACATATTAGACTCTTTGGTCGTTCCTTGTTGGAATAAGTTAGTCACCGTTGCCGTTTGACGGACATATTGTTTAAAATGAGGTCACATTTTATACGAATTTGTGATTGCAAATTTCAGTTATATACCTACTACTCTTCTTGCAACAGTCAAACTATCATTATATATAGTTAACAAATTAGTAATTTATTGTTATAACAGTAATAATTTTGTTAATTGTACGTAGTAGGTACGTAGATACATTTTATACACGTGTGCACAAGTTGTACTGGGGAAAATTAAAAAGTTTTAATTGGGATATCGTTAACCTGTAATAATAGTTATATTGCTTGCCCGTGGAATAATTATCAATGATACTGCTTTTGTTTTTTAAGAGGTAGAAATAAGGAAATTACTTCCCGCCCTGGGTGGGTCGAGAGTGTCAGACCCTGATAATAAAATCCCGTTCCTTTCCTGCTTTAGGCTGAGTATGTGATACAAACTTACACCCGCAACCCCAGCTAAGATACAGCTGGTACGGGAAAACCTTCTGATTGCACTTAGTAACAAAATAAAAATAGCTTTATTAATATCATCCTTGTAAGATCTTGGATAAGCTCTTCTATTTTGGGCAATGTTTCTTCAACCCTTCGATGTCCAGGTACCTATCATTTTAGGATATTTAGCATTTGTGAAGTCGATCAATGTCATGCGTTCGATTATTTATATAAGACAGAAAAAAAGACCAATGCTAAAGTTATACTGTGACATGATAAAGATAATTAGTAGTTCTTTATTGTATTGTGTTGTCTTGCTATTTATTTTCACATCACTTGCTGGTCTTCAACTTGTTCTTTAGCGTCGAACGAATCGGTGTACACGTATGACATGATGGCAATTTCCTTAAACAATAAATAATTACATGTTTACAATTAAATAGGTCGATATGGAGGAATATTTTCTCACCAGGGAAAGAATTCTATCAATGCCGTCTTTATGTCAATTTCTAATGTATTGGACTTACTGTGTTGGTGAGACGGATAATAATCATGTTTTTTTTTTAGATGAGACCTTTCCGATTTAATATACTTATTTGTTTTCCTAAAGTTTTTATTTCTTATAATGAATGGCAATGTCATGAATAGGACTGCACCATAACTGATATATCGTACATATTTTGTGAATTATGAAGGATCAGATATGCATTTTTTGGTCAACACTCTAAAATTATCGGTATTGTTTTCATGAATGAAACCTTCTGCCAGCGGTTTCGTGAAAAGCCATTCAAAAAGTACCAAAAATCTGTCCATTTGTAAGTCCAATAATATTAGCACGATTGTTCTTCACCTTGGATATGGTTAGATTTTTGTTTAACGCTAATAACTAGAGCTTATGAATGACCAACGCACCTTGTGGGAGGTGTTACGATTGGGGAAGAAAAGGCGCCGAAAGAAACCCACTTTTTTCTCAACTTGGACTGGCTCCGATTGAGTAGTTCGCATGCAATGGCTTGAGCAGGTTGGCAGGTTTTGTAGCTCTTCGGTTGACTGAAATATAAATCGAAATTGATAAAAACGGAGAAAGTTAATCCAAACATTTATTGAGCGGAAAGTCATCAATTGACTCTAGTCGCCCTGGGTGCGGCGAGCGTAAGAGACTCTTACCTACTGATCTCGGTCGGCCGAGCCCGTGGTATATTATGGCGCTAACCTCTGCAAAAGATCAGCCCTGCTGTTCCCCATTTGCAGTAGTATGAAGACTCTTTGAGGCGCGGGCGGAAGACTACGCCGAACGTTGCGATCTGATTCTCGTCGAACAGCGAGCTACCTTTGCTCGTCGTCCGCAAACCCGTTCTTACGGTGCACCGAGATCATCGCGTAATCCCTGACACCTGGAGAGTCTCCTAATGTGGCGGCTTGGTTGCGAGAAGTTTAGTTTTCTTACGCGCTTGGCCTTATTATTTGCGAGCATCACTACTTTGTAAATGATGTTTACCATTAAGATGACCGCCAGGTTTGCCGTCTTTTACCATTAAAAAAATAGAGACAATACAGCGCAATACAGCGCAACTCCTTGTTTTGTAAAGGAGGCCCAAATCTCGGCAGTAGATTCTGGTATGATGGTAATGATGATAATGATGATGATGAATGGATACAATACCTTCTACCTGATACTAACAGTTCCCGTGGTGTCGTTGTGCATGTTGCAGTGGAGGCAACAGATCTCATCAGCCACCGTAAGGCATGCTACTTCTGCACGTGTCACTTCATTCTGTTAAAAACGTTTTGTACCTGTTAAATTTTCCAGTTGATATAATGGAAGGAGAGACCACTTTTCGCCGACCCGCCGAAATGTCTTAAGATAAAAGCTAGAAACCCTGGGGGAGGTGAGAGCGAGAGTGATTTTTACTGACTAAAAAAGAGCCACTGTAAATTATAAATAGATTTGGCAACCGCAATCCCCGTTGAACATCAGACCTATTGGGTCCCATCTGTGCTGATCTAATCAAAGAAGTCATAGTAATTGAATTGGAAAATTGCAAAGATAACCTTTCCATATAGTTTTGATGGTATGTTAACTTGTTTTACTTAAGCCTCCAGTTACGAACGTTATTCTTACCGACATTTTATCCAGAACTTTTTTCATAGTCTTGAGCTCGTGTGTTGCGTGGAATTTTTGGGTAATATCAGGAAGAATCAAACTGATGATTACGACGACTATGATGGCGATGACAGCGACATAGTTCCCGTTCAATGCACAGGACATTGTCCAGATGTTGTTCGACGCCTTTTTCATAAATTGCATCCAGTCATTGCACATGGTGCTCGAATTTTCGGAAGACGAAGGTGATACTGTGGCTTGGGAGATTATTGTTGAGGGTTGGGAGACAGCACGTAAGGATGGTTTTCCACGTAGTACTGTGTGAGCTGAAAATAACCTCCTAATATATTATTATATTCCCATTCTTAAATATTTATACTTTATCATCTTGAATGTATCCTAGGGCGTGTAAAGCGTTCGAATACGCATTAATATGAGTATGGAAACGATATTTATAGTCTTAATTACAATTAATAAACATTAAAAGATTTGATAGGTGTTCATAATCATTCGTTTGTTCTTAGTTCATTTGTGATATATAAAACATGTGCAAGATGGATTAAGTACATTGGAGGAAAAGGACTATCCAGACTATGATCTACAAGTCATGGGCTCTTGTGCATAAGTGAACGTATTGTGACCGACAATAATTCCGACAATAAGACCGATAACGATGATGGTCTAGAACAAGCTGAGTGATGGGATTTAGTTTCACTATCTTGTATGTAATATTTACATGCCTTTATGATATGCCAGACTTTATGTATAAGGTACCAGAAATGCCTGGGAAAGTATTAGAAAAGAATTTCAACTACTATATAAAATACCTGGGAAGGTATGTCGCTTCGCCATTTTACGACTTATATTGATTTATTTAAGCATTTTCGTAGAATTTAAATCATCACACATATACACGACAAGATTTTCATTTCACCATAAACTATAGAATCTTTACAATTTAAAATGTCTGTCATGTTCAATTGATTCTGAAGTTTATTGATGTTTTTGTAACAATGACGTTTTGATATGGTTCTTCATAGTGCATAGCTAAATATCTATGCATGATCTACTAACGACTTCAAGTGCATCTACGCAAGTAGTCTACCAGGTATTGCCTTTGCGAACTTCTCAGTCAGTATACTGCTATTAACGTCTATCATCACATTATCAGCCTATAAAAGGGCCACTGCTAAGTTTTTTCAAACATGAAGAAGGTTTGAGCATTAATTATCTCCTGGTCAAGGAAGACTGGCGATTCCAAACTTATAATTAAAAATTATAGGTCTAGGTTTATGTCTAGTGATATCTAATTAATGTGAGAATGTACATGCACCTCGCACAGTCATATTGGTGCTTGCCAGGTTTCGAAACGCAGCTTTTGTCGCACCCTCATGCATGAAAACCAGCGCCTTAACCTCGGGCCACCATTCCAGCCGGAGGAAACGCCCGAGTGTCATCACTGCGAGGACCACCTAGAGGATACGGTGGAGCATACGGTGGCGGTATGCCCTGCCTGGGCTGAGCACCGCCGTGTCCTCAGGGAAGTGATCGGCAGCGGCGACCTCTCGCGCCCTGCCTTAGTCGAGGCCATAGTGTGGAGCAAGAGGAACTGGGACGCCGTCTCCTCCTTCTGTGAAGCAGTTATGCTCGCAAAGAGGGAGGCGGTCCGCGTGAGGGAGCAATCCTCCTCCTCACGCCTCAGCCGCCGTAACAGTCGACACTACGGGCGTCGGGGATCAAGGGACGATCTCCGGTCACCGTAAGCGCGGGTCTGCGGTCGGCGAGTAAGGGTAGCTCGCCGCCCGACTAGAACCAGACCCGTGCGTACGGCGCGTAGCGTACCTGGCGCGCCTCAAAGAGCTAATAGACCACCACAGACAGGGCCCTAAAGGGTTGATGTTCAGCCGGGGTTGCGGGGTAACAGGCACCGCGCCCTCGGCCCAGATCAGGAGAAGGAACAGGGGGTTTTTAGTCAGTAAGAGTCTGACACTCCCTCCCGCCCGGCCCTGGGCGGGAGAAGTCCCCTCACAAAAAAAAACCTCGGGCCACCACAACAATTTTATAGTAGGTAAGCAATAAAATAGATCATCACTATAAGTACTGGAATTATCCGTTAGGGGCGCTAGTAAATAACTGACAAAAGAGTTTTTATTACGTAGGTATAGAAGATAATAGATGATTAACAGATTAAAAATAATTATACTTATGACCAATACAAAAGTAGTCTTCTTTGGTTCGTTATTTTTTCTCTCTTTTTACACTAATAGACTAGCTACTCTCGCGCGGTTTCACCCGCTGCTCAGCTCCATTTAATCGGAGTGTGATGTAGAATTTTGAAAATCCGACCAGCGGTTCCAAAGATTACCCCCTACATACAAACTTACAAATTTTTCCTCCTTATAATATTAGTATATATGAAGTGTTCTGCCATCTCTTTCATTGAATAAAAAGCCTGATTTTATGTTGTTATGTATAAGTCACTTTATTTTGTAATTGGCCACTATCTAAATGTATTACCTGTTTTCGTTGTACTGGTCAGCCGATTCTAACGTCTAAATTTCTAAGCGAAATAGGAAGCAATTGGATAGTTTTAATAGTTAAAAATAAATAATTCAATTTAAAAATCCGTAAAAATACTTCAATATAATCACACTTCTCATTATATTACTTTACGTAAACTATATATTTGTATTTTTTTTTATAATAATTCAACTCAAATAAGCTAGATATTTGACGTAAATAACACGTCACAACGTGCTATTTCAAGAAAAAATATTGAGTTAGACCAGTTGGAAACCATCCTATTGTGCAAGGCGATCAATAAAACTGCAACTAAGTAAATCCAAGTTCATAAATAATCATAGCTTTAAATAATGACTTTTTATTTTGACGTTCACTAATACGAACATTATGGATTATAATTTAAGTATATTGTAAGTAATAATAAATTAATAACAAGGGACAAATACACTAAAAATTAAGTATAAAATTACCACCTAACTTATAACATTCTATGCGCACGTCAAGCTTCCGTATTATCTATACAAAATTATTTGCAGAATTAATTATCACTCATGTTATCGGCAAATCATTTTGAACTTTATAATAATGTTTTTTGAGTGCAGTTTCAGCTCTCAGTTTATTTATCACCGCCTGTTATCGTCTACGCAGCACATAGAACAACAAGAGGTTCTTTTTGCTATGTATTTGGCGCAGGGTCGAGAATCGGTTAAATTATCTGAAAATAAATAATAAATAAGTGAGGTCTGTGTCTCTTCTTGGCTTAGTATGGGACTGTCATGCTTTAGCACAAATAGGTCTACCGGAGTGATACCACGGCCTCACAGAAAACTGTGAAGTAAGTAAGAAGCAACGTAAGTGAAGTTACCGGAGCCGACCAGAGAGAACCAAACCCAAAATCTCCAAATCCCTAATCCCCAAGAGGTCGGCAACGCAGTCGTAGCTCCTCCGTTGTTGCAGGTGTCCATGGGCAGCGCTGATTGCTTACCATCAGGTAATCCGTCTGCTCGTTTGCCCACTTATTACATAAAAAAACTCTATGGCGTTAGTATATGTATTTCTATTTATCGTCCTATATTTTATCCGTCTTTTCGTAAGTGTCCGTCACCAACAGACGGATAGTGGAACAGGGTATTAGAAGGTAATAGGGGCCCACACCCCCGTCCTACCTTTGGCTTAACCCTGAAACCTTGAAATAAAGGCAAGATCTATCAATATAGTGTGTGGATAACTACTTAACAAATAAATGACTAACGTTTCGATCTGCGCAACTGTCCAGGCGAAGTAAATTCAATATTCGGTCCAATTCTGGAAGCAAAGAATCTACATTATTTACACGATAATTAATGAACATAAGCACATCGTACTGGAGAAGACATTAGGTTATTTTTCCCTCTCAAAAAAACTATGAGCGAGAGCAGACATGTGATTTCCCCCTTTTGGCGCGAGGCGAGGTACCATTCGTCCGCAGACCCGTGCTCACGATGGCCGGAGATTGTGGCCTGTTCCCCGACGCAAGGAGTATTGTCTACTGCGGCGGCGTAAGGATTGTATCCTCACGCACCCCACCGCCTTCTTTGCGAGCACCACTACCCGTAGAAAGAGCAAGAATGACGACAAATATATTTCACTCAGACTGTGCAACATTTATTAGTGTTTGTATTAAATATACCGATTCATACAATAACTAACCTTGATTTTGATTCTGTTCTAGGCGTTGGACAAGGACTGCGCGATCTACAGACCTGAAATCATTGTCATTGATTATGTTAAGGCCCGCCTGTAATCCATGAGATGTACGGAAGCAAGATATATTCAGTTCAGTTACCTACCTTGGAACAGCCAGACAAACCAACTTCTCTAAGTGTCTTTTCTTCAAATCTTGGATGCGATGTTACTTGGGCTGATATATCCGTTTTCGTGGTTATCTTTGAGTGGTTAGACGCTGTATTCATAAGTTGGCAAGTGTCTGGATTCGTACAAACCGAATTCGATTTATTGGGATTCGAACAAACCGAGTTTGATTTATTCGGATTCGAACAAACCGAACACGATTCATTCGGATTTGAACAGACCGAGTTCGAATTATACGGTGTCAAACTATCCGAATTAGAATTGCAGGTCTTGCAAGCCGTGTTTTTGCCTTCAGATTGGACGTCGGCTGGAAAATGAATTATTTTGGATCAGTTTTGGCTAAATTAAAGAGTTTCTTCTAGCTATTGGTATCGCTAATGACGGACATTTTTCTTAGGTACTTAGAATAATTACTTGGGATACGAATTAGTAATCCTACTATAGTAACTCGGTGAGATCTTCGAGTAGGTATAGGTACTAGGTAAAATTTTATCGAAGAATTGAAGTATAAAGTACCTAACTGTAAATGCATTCGATCCAGTTATGACGTATTTTATAAAACCTCGACCATGTGGCCTTGAAAAATTTTAGTGGTGGCATGGTGGTACGCATTTGATAGTGTAACTCGTGGAAATAAGTGATGCAGCTAGTTTCTTATCGGTCCAATGACAAGGGGTCTAGTAGGTATTTGGGTATTTTCAATGTTTTTAAAATAATTCTGCACAGAATATTGTACGTTTGGAACGAGCAACACATAAATAGGGTACCGATCTGAAGTCTTAGATAACCACCATACTGAATATTTTTTTGTCAATAAGTTTAAAACTTATATCAAAAATAAGCATATGTAAGTTTACCTTTACTAGAGCTCTGTCCAAGATCTGTACAGCAAAGGGTGCGTGGGCCGTTAGGTCTAGCAGCCAACATTTTGAACACGTACATGATCATGAGGATAAGCGTCCCTAGTGCCACGGAAATAACGACCAGGGACTTTTTGATGAACTCTTCGAAATGGTCCACTATGTCATCCATGTACTCATAACATTCGAGACTACTGCACTCATTTGATATTTAGTGTGCTATTGGTTTTCTTTTTTTTTGTTAGAATGTGTAATAAATATACCTGGAACAACATAAACAATGCAAAATCATACTTTTCTCAAAAACATTTAACGTTACACAGTAGGTATAGCAAACATAAAATTACCAAGCTATTCTTTTCACATTTTTAAAATATTGTGAGTATTTTTTGTAAACGAAAACAGGGCGCATAGTATGTTAAGTATTTGTTAAATTTTTATTTGAATTCAAAAGCACATAATAATGATGGAACTGACGTGTGACGTACTTATTTTTTTTCTATTCTTTATTGTCACACTCTATGATTTTGAGTCAAGAGGTTGTGAACTCATTCGTCTATTTATGGTTAATTTGTCAGCAGGTTAAACTCCTCTTAACTGTCAAACGTCAAAACAAATTATTGTAAGTATGTACTTAACTCAATATTGTTGCAACTAAATCTTTTACAGGGTCTTTTGAAACGTCCAATCAAGAAATCCAAATACGTTATAAGATTTTCGTATCGTATATCATTACTTTCATTGTCTAACATTAGCAAATACAGGTACCCACTTATAGGCGAATATTAGAATTACTTTTGGTAAACATTAAGATTCAGACGGACGTCGTAAAAATATAATAAAATATTATTTTTATTAGGCAGACAGTTTGTAGACCATTGGTAAACATGAAATCGGTCTATAATTTTTAATCGGGTCGGTCGGAAAATTATTAATCGGGTTTGTGATTATAAGCATCGTTATTTTATACACATTTTTCTATGAATTCGCGCGGACCGCCAAACGCCGTACACTCCGGTTTGATTCTGGTCGGGCGGCAAGCTACCGCTAACGCGCGCTTACGGTGGCCGGAGATCGTCTCACGATTCACGACGCACGCCCGGAGTGTCACCCACTGCGGTGGCTGGAACCTGAAGAGGATAGCTCCGTCACGCGGTCTGCCTCCTGTGCGACTGTAACTGCTTCACAGAAAGAGTAGACGACTTCCCAGTTTATCTCGCTCCGCACCATGGCCTCGACTTTGGCCGGGCGCAAGAGTTCGCTACCGCCGATCCCTTCTCTGAGGACTCGGCGGTGGTCAGCCCAAGCAGTTAGACCGCCGCCGCCAGAAGCTGCCGTGCCCGGTTAGCACCTGCGTCAGGCGGAAGGTGAGGACGCCGTAGTGTCTCTTAAGCCACTCCTCAAACATGTATTAGCCACTGCTATACCAGCATCCCCTAAGAATTTGACTTACGTGCGTACGTAAGGTAAAATATTAGTTGCATTTCATCAAAAACATTTTCTTACTAAAATAGTTAAGCCGTAAGCGTAGCCATTTTATTATTAGTTTAGTTTGTTGTTTCACTTACATTACTTTAATCTATACTAATATTATAAAGAGATAAATTTTGTAAGTTTGTATGTAGGGGATAATCTTTGGAACCGCTGGTCGGATTGCCAAACTTCTTTCAATGATAGATAGCTACAATGTGCCACGGATTACGCTAAGATCAATTGGACCTGAGCAGCGGGTGAAACCGCGTGAGATAAGCTAATTGGTTAATAAAATTGTTGTATCATAGTTAGTTTGAATGCCTGAATAACTTTCTATTTTCATTCAAACTGGTCCGATTCCCAGTAAGCCTATACTATAATATTACCACCAACAAAACGCAAGGACAAACGCTAAAAGTTGCAGATTTGGATATAACAGGCAGCTGTTTTTCGCACGGTCAGCTTTACTTAGGTTTGTCGCACGTGAGCTATCCCAGAAACTTATATGCTTTGATGCCAGAAGGCAATACAACTTATTAGTTGTATAACATACCTACATGTCACAACATATTTGTTGTGTACAAAGAAGAATTGTTGTAATTTTTATCATTATTTAAATCCACTCCCATACCAACCACTAAGCGGACGAAATCGCGGGAATTTACGTTTTTTGACGCGCTCAATAGTTAATCGGTTTTTGAGTTGCTTCAATAGGATGCTGTAAGCTTTCCAAAAATAAAAATGTCAAAATTCTGTGTCATTATTTTTTTCCAATCCAATGCTATAAATGCGAACGTAACTCTGTCTGTCTATCTCTTCTTCATACTTAAACTACTGAAACGATTTGGATAAAATAAATAATAATTAAATTGGCGGTATTAGTATCTCTTACACGTGTTAAAATTCTCTCAAAATGAAACTTCGTTTTATTTTACAATACACATATTTTAGTTTTCTATAAATTCAACAAAGTATTCTTATTTGGCCATCTATCATTATATAGGATTGTATTTGGTTTGACTTTGTACATTTTGTGAAAGTGTATGAGTGATTACCTTCAAATAATTATTTTATCAACCTGACCGATTCGATTCAGTTCGATATGATATGATACAGTATAGATAAAAAATGCGTCACTAGTTCAAGCGCGCTAGCTCGTCCCAGAAGTCACACGTTGTCGAGTTGTCTGTAGTATCGTAGCTGCCCATTCTTTATTTATTTCTAAGTGACATAAATAGTTTCATTTACATTTATTCAATGATTTGTATTGCTGGAGTGGATAAAAACTTTTGTGCTTGTGTGAGTGTATTCAAAGTGAGTTTAGATATTATTAATTTTCAACAACGAATATGGTGAATCGAAAATTATTAATCGGGTTTGTGATTATAACCATCGTTATTTTATACACATTTGTTTATGATCTGAGCTATTTTAAGGAAGTTAGAGATTTTTATGAACTAACACAAACAAATGTTTCATTTAAATATATTCTGGTTTGGACGTCACTTAAAACTGACCCATTGTTTAATTTACGAGTGGCTAGAGATGCTTTCATTGAGCGAGCATGTCCTATTACGAACTGTTTTGTGACGGGAAACAGAGAGTTGTTGCATGATATAACAAAGTTCGACGTGATCGTGTTCCATGCCCCAGAATTTGTACAGAAGGGTGTGCAGTCGTTACCGGCGCAACGTAAGCCGCATCAGAAGTACATCTTCACTAGTATGGAGTCGGCGGCTTACTATCCAATCTGTAATCAGAAATTCCTCAACTTTTTCAATTGGACGTGGACTTACAAATTGAATTCTGATCTTAACTATGCTTACTTTTCTGTATGGAATAAGAATGGGAGTGTTATAGGACCTAAAGAAGAAATGCATTGGATGAAGGTGGAGGACATGGCGCCAGTAAATGACACATTGAAGGAAATATTGAATGGCAAGACGATAGCAGCTGCGTGGTTCGTGTCGAACTGTGGAGCTCCAAGTGGAAGGGACAAGATTGCCAAACAGCTACAAATTGAACTGCAGACGCATGGCTTGCGTTTGGACATATATGGTTCTTGTGGAACCATGAAGTGTCCAAAATCCAGTATGGACGAGTGCATGCTCAAATTGCGGAGTGATTATTATTTTTACTTGTCATTTGAAAACTCATTCTCGGATGACTATGTGACAGAGAAATTGCTGAATGCTCTCGACAATTATGCTGTACCGGTGGTGTTCGGTGGAGCAAATTATACTAGGTAGGTACTTGTAAAGTTTAAACCTTAACCGTAATAACTTCTTATGCACAAATAAATAGGCGTGATGTAATCATTACATAGTTTAGTTTCTTTGTTAGGAATACATATCTACATCAATGTGCACACATAGGTACGCTCAGATAAACATATAAACATTCAAACAATCATTGTATTGTGTCAACAAAGGCAGCAGCAGCACGCGTCTAAATTGTTATATTTTTGTTTCATGTTCGGTGGACAAAAGCTATTAGTAATTCAGTTCGACAATATTATACATATACTACATTTTAACCATGACTTTGTCCACCTATACTTCTGAGCGCTTCGGACTACATCTATGACAATTAATGTAACCTTTAATCGCGGTAATCCGAGACAACAATAGGTGCGCGATCGCTTCGCTTGGGGTTTGATAAATTTGGGTGGGTGGATGGAGAAAGCGCCATCAGGCACAAAACCTAGAATAAACCTGCTTTCATTTTATTGATATACCTACTAGCGACCCGCCCCGGCTTCGCACGGGTTCAATGCTAATACTGAATTTCTCCACTACTATTCATGTTATTATACATGGAAAAATCTTCACTTTCAATCACTTTACATATTAATAAAAATCCGTTACGTAGTTTTAAAGATTTAAGCATACATAGCGATACTGGGACCGAGATAGCGTTGTTTTGTGTCTCTGTGTTCTGTATTCACATGTGTAGTAAACTTCTGGTTCCATTATAGCATATTATGTTTTCATTCCTGACTGGGGTAGACACGATATTCTTTGGGCTCAATAACAATAATATTAAATCGCATTTAAAAAACTAACTTTTATAAAGATACGTCTTGGTGACACAGACAAATAACGTCGTGGCGGCCTAGAGGTTAAGGCCCTTATGGATGAGGGTGTTTTTTTTTTGTGAGGGGAAAATCATCAAATCACTTCTCCCGCCCAGGGACGGGCGTGTCAGGCTCTTACTGACTAAAACCCCCCCCGTCCCTTCTCCTGCTCTGGGCCGAGGTCGCAGTGCCTCATTGCACTTACTCCGCAACCCCGGCTGAATATTAGCCCTATATGGTCCCGTCTGTGGTGGTCTATTGGCTCTTTGGGGCGCGCGCGGAACGCTACGCGCCCAACGCTCGGGTCTGGTTCTGGTCTGGCGGCGAGCTACCCTTACTTACCGTCAGCAGACCCACGCTTACGGGGGACGGGGATCGTCTCATGATCCCCGACGACCGGAGTGTCGCCTGCTGCGGCGGCTGGGGCGTAATGAGGATTGGTCCCTCACGCGGTCCGCTTCCCTCATTGCGAGCATAACTGCTTCACAGAAGGAGGAGACGGCGTCCCAGTTTCTCTGGCTCCGCACCATGGCCTCGACTAAGGCCGGGCGCGAGAGGTCGCCGCCGCCGATCACTTCCACGAGGACACGGCGGCGCTCAGCCCAAGCAGAGCACACTGCCACCGTATGCTCCACCGTGTCCTCCTGGTGGTCCTCACAATGATGACACTCGGGCGTTTCCTCCCGTTGAATCCGAAACAGGAACCTACCGAAGCTGCCGTGCCCGGTAAGGACCTGCATCAGGCGGAAGGTGAGGACGCCGTGGCGTCTCTTAAGCCACTCCTCAAAGAGGGGTCTTACCGCTGCTATAACAGCGTGCCCAGCCCTCGGTTGCAACAGTCGTTGCTTTCACTCTGCCATGAGATCACGCCGGAGCTCATTCCGCCACGCACTAATTTGGGACGGCAGAGGTTCCGCTCCCCGGCGACGCGCGTCTGCGCGCTGACTGTAGACGCGCGCGAGTGCTTTCGCTTCCAGATCCCACGGCGTTGATCCGGCAGAGAGGTTCGCCGCCTCCCCGGAGATCGTGCGATATCCGCGGAGTGTCGCTCTGTGCCCGGGCTGACCGCAGCGAAAGCAGCGGCCGCTGCGGTCTACCTCAGAGGTGCACCCGGCACCTACATGGTGACCAAACGAGGCGGCGGTAGCACTTCAAAGGATGGTGCCTGCCTTCACCTGATGAGCAGGGCACCCCCCCCCCCCCGTCCGTCCGTCCTACCGTCCTGGCGACAGCGGCCCCAACTTAATTCTCCGTCATGGAGTCGTCCAGGCGCATGATGCGTGCTGCGAGTGCAAGGGCGTCAGCAGTCGGGCCTCTGGCTGCGCCGGGGACCTCCAACTCAACAACTCCAACAGTCACTCTTACTGCAAACCCGTTGGAGGGCCCGAACTCCGCGGGAGTAACCGTCCCTTTTATTTCTTACCTTACGTCTCCCCCTTCTTAGCCGCGTCCACGTAAACTTCGGCTGTAGTGTTCACACTACAGCCCTTTACTTTACAGAACAACTTTATTAACTCTTCTTAACCCTCTCTCTTCACATTATATTAGTATTTATTAATATTATGTGTATTAGTGTTTATATTTAATGTAATTAAACGCAATTATATGTATATCTATGTATAGGTATATTATTTTTATGTATGTAACTTAGAATTGATTTCCTCCACCTCATGTAACTTCCTAAATTGCTTTATATCACCTACCACACATCTGCACTACCAAAAGGTTGACTGGCAGAAAATGTTCTCCGATATGCAATTGTATATAAAGAATAAATAAAATACCTAGGGCATTACCACCATAAATAAATAAATACTTACCTTACTTTTTTTACTTACTGCAAAAATAATTAAATGTTTTAGAAGTACATTCAGTCTGACCATATTATAAGACACTACCTAATAATTATAATAAAAATACTTTAAGTATATTTAAAAGAATAATTTATTATTTGTATTTACTAGATACCTACAAGTTGCGTTCTGTTTTAATCTTGTTCACTACCTAGTATAAAACAAGGTCGCTTTCTCTGCCACTATATCCCTATGTAGGATTAAATTTTTCAAACTACGCAATAAGTCGGGGCGGGTCGCTAGTATAATCAAATCGCAAAATGTGTGTTAATAAGAGCCAAACCGAAACACGCGCAACGCCTGGGCCAAAATTGCAGATTTTTTTCTTTTCGTTTTTACAGTAAGAATGAGGTTCTAATAAAATATTTTTTTTTTAAAGTTGATCTGTTAGTTAAGAATGTGGTACTTACCTAAGTTACTTTTAGTCGTTCGACATTAGCTAGGTAATTGGATATCCGTGCGAAACAGGTGCGGGCCGCTAGTTAAAAGTATATCTATTGTATATAATCAAAACAAAAATCAATAATGTGTACATAAATAATTGTACCAGTACCTACAATAAGGTACAAGTGTGTAAAGTTGGTGATTACCGCAGAGGGGCGCACAGAGTCTTAAGGAGCCGAGGACGATAACGACTCGTGTATCATACGACGTTTTTCAACACACTTCTGAATAAAATAATACTTCAATAGAGCAAACGAGATGAGTTGCAAAAAATGTTTCGTAATGGCGGGAAAAATTAATCATTACCTATTCCTAGGCGCGCGCATCGGCCACAGACTAAAAAGTGATGTTTCTTTTTTTTGGTTTCTCTCGGAAAGCATTTTAGCACAAGTGTAAGCGGAACTCAACCAATAATTTAAATAATCTATTACACACTAGTGAATAATAGTAATGAAAAAGTCACTGATTACCGTGGGATTAGACTCATTTTATATATCTTGACAAATACCTAACTGTGCAAATAATAACAACGCCGTCTAACAATATCTATGGCCACAGACTATACAGCATTAAGGGAAAAATATCTATGATATAAAAAAACTTAAAAAAATGTTTTTTTTTTTTTTTATCTTAGACATTGATTATAACACAAAATTCTGAGGGCCCCAGTAAGTTATCGAAGTACTTGTTTTAAATTTTAATTTTAGTTATTGCCTTTTTAATTTTAGATTCATGCCGGATGGAATATATTTGTCAGCGAACACGTTAACAATTAAGGAACTGGCCAAGAAAATGGCGGATAGTATAAAAAATAAAGAGTTATATTACGAGTACTTCAAATGGCATAATCATTACAGTTACCGAGATGTAGTTGCTTCTGTAGAAACGGATCCTTATTGTAAATTATGCGAAGCTATTAATAATGAAGAAGAAATGTCGAAAACAACAATTTATGAAGATATTGGAATGTGGTGGAGCCCAAAGACGTGCCAAGTTAAAACTAATACATCCTTAAACAAACATTAAGCTTGATCTTAGATCATGTAACTAATTTATTATATATACATTATTTATAGGTACCTACTGAACGTATATCACGTAACATTTTATATATTTATACTCTTGTCATTAGAATATAGGTATTTATGCTTTTATAGCATAAAAGAAATTTCAAATTAATATGAATTAGGTAGATTGATTATTATTGATTAGGTATTTTTTATAATAATTGTGTTGTAGTCGATAAACTATAAATATAAATACCTATATGGTTTCATTTAAATTATTATCATCAGCGCTAAACCAGGTGTGTTTTGAAGTTAAGTTTTACTCTTAATAATGATTTAAAACATCATTCCCGATGTTGACAAATTCTTTTGTTATTTTTTTTTAAACCATACGTATTTTTTTTTTGTTTTTGGGTCATTATAGTCTTCGTCCGCCCTGGGTAAGACGAAAGAATTAATTTGATTAGATTGAGAGAAACTAAATAAAGATAATCTAAAAATCACTTACATTTAATACAGGATTATCATTTAAAATAGTAACCAAAAACCACTAAGCTTAAAACTTATGCTATCATGAGTCTATCTCAAAATCGGAGTCCATAAAATGAGGTTTAACAAATATAAGTACCTACTTATAATATACGTTAAAGTACGCTAACAATTATGAAAAACTTTAGATAAATGGTATCTGCATAAACTTAACTTATACTCCTTAGTAATACTTATAATATTGCTTTAGTTTACATTGTATGTTCTTTGGGGTAATACTATTTTTTATTTCTGAGGGTAAGCTATTAATAAGTCTCCGGGGCTGCGGGGAAAGTGCAATGAGGCACCGCGACCTCGGCCCAGAGCAGGAGAAGGTACGGGGGTTTTTTAGTCAGTAAGAGTCTGACAGTCTCTCTCGCCTTACCCTGGGCAGGAGAAGTCATTGGGTCAAAAAGTTGATAAAAAACTGATAACCGTGGGATTAAACCCATTTTATAAGGAAGTGTCTTGACAAATAAGTGTGCAAATAATAACAACGCCGTCTAACAATATCTATGGCTACAGACTATACAGCATTAAGGGAAAAATATCTATGATATAAAACTTAAATTTTTTTTTTATCTTAGACATTGATGATAACACAAAATTCAGAGGGCCCCAGTAAGTTATCGAAGTACTTGTTTTAAATTTTAATTTTAGTTATTACCTTTTTAATTTCAGGTTCATGCCGGATGGAACATATTTGTCAGCGAACACGTTAACAATTAAGGAACTGGCCAAGAAAATGGCAGATATTATAAAAAATAAAGAGTTATATTACGAGTACTTCAAATGGCATAATCATTACAGTTACCGAGATGTAGTTGCTTCTGTAGAAACGGATCCTTATTGTAAATTATGCGAAGCTATTAATAATGAAGAAGAAATGTCGAAAACAACAATTTATGAAGATATTGGAATGTGGTGGAGCCCAAAGAAGTGCCAATTTAAAAATAATAGATTTTTAAACAAACATTTAGCATGATCTTAGATCATGTAATTTATTGTACTTATAAGTAATAATTGTATATAGGTAGAGACTGAATGTATATCACGTTAAATTTTATACTTATTTAATAGATACTCTTGTCATAAAAGAATACCTAAGTATTATAAGAACAATAAAAGAAAGAAGAATGACAGTCTCAGTGTCGCTCTGTTTGTAAAACGTAACGTAAATAAATTATATGCATTTAAGAAATCGAGTAACGTAGGTAGTTTAATTTTCTGTTTTAAATTTTGTTAGCCTGTATAATAGAAATTAAAAAATATTTTGTTTTATTACCATTTTTAAACGGTATTTATTCCAGGCCACAAGGTATTTATTTGGGTAAAATAAGAAATTAAAATTTAAGTACCGAACCTTTGGTTCCTATGACAAATTCAATATAGTAATATCAATAACCCCTCAATATGTTTTTTTTTTTATGTAATTGGTCGGCAAACGAGCAGACGGATTACTTGATGGTAAGCAATCAGCGCCGCCCATGGACACCCGCAACGGAGGAGTTACGAGTGCGTTGCTGACCTTTTAGGGATTAGGGATTTGGAGATTTAGGGATTGAGGAGGGATTGGGGGCGGGGAAGGATTGGGCCTCCGGTAACCTCACTTACACGGCGAAACACAACCCTGTGGTTGTTTCACGTCGGTCTTCTGAGAGGCCGTGGTATCATTCCGGTCGAGCCGACCCATTCGTGCTGAAGCATGGCTCTCCCACACTTAAAATAATGGTTATCAAATAAAAGGGTTACACAAGTAGTATACTGTGATTATGGCAAAATTTAAAATCCAAAATAAAATGGACGTCGTTCCAAAATGGCGTATTAGGTGAGGGCATGAGTAGTCGTGTCCAAATTCCAAAACAGTACTTAGTGTCAGTTGTGTCCAACGTAATGTGACGATAGGGCAGATAAAGAAAATAGATGATTAGGTTAGGTACCTACGTACTTAGTTAGCGGAATAAGGAATATTGGGTAGGCATTTTCACTATACATCTAAATAAAAGAAAAAGCATTATATTTCATCGAAAAGAAAAAAAAAACTTAACTAGCATTTTTTTACTTAACATGACCTATACTTATTGTTTCTTGTTTGAGTGAGTTTAAATGCATTCGAAGTTTTAAATGTTTTGTTCAGTTTCTGGTTTGTTTTCCACAACTTCTTCTCGGGTGAAGGCCTCCCCCAACGATTTCCATTGCTCCCTATTCGGGGCTTTCTGCATCCAGTCATGGCCAGCCGTCCTGATAATCTCGTCTTGCCATCTCGTAAGCGGCCTTCTTTGCAGCGCTTGCCCAGGGAGCCGGTCCATGACGTTACTCTTGTTGTCCATCTCTGGTCTTGAAGTCGCGCCACAACATGTCCCGCCAGGAATTTTCATTAAAATAATTAAAAACAAGAAACCAATTTAAGTTAAACGGTTTTATCGTATGTGCACTGAAAACTTAGAATAAGAATAAATTAGAATAAATAATAAGAATTTTCTAGTTTTAGATAGGCAGAATAGCTTTTAGGCAGTAAGCAAGCAAACAGACTAGGTGCCTGAAATAAAAACTTGGGGCCAATTAACTATTGCTGTAATACTTTCTTCTATACCTACTAAGTCTAGATTGCATCGACACTAAATTGGTATCAAATCATAACTGGACATTTTAACGATCAAAAACCAGCCATGGCAGCTTCACCAGTAACGGCGGATCCAGCTTTGGCGCCAGGACGGAGTCACATAGTCGTAATCAAGTAAAAAATTTAAATGAAAAAACACACGGGACGTGGACACGGGAGCTTCAGTAGGTACCTATTTCGGCATTGTGAGGACTAGCTGGAGGTTACGGTGGAGCATAAGCTGGCGGTGTTCCCTGCTCGGGCTAAGCACGCCGTGTTCTCAGAGAAGTTATTGGCATCGACGACCACCAATCACATTCCCCTTCTTTAGTCGAGGTCATGGTGCGGAACGAGAGGAATTGGGAAGTCGTATCTTCTTTCTACGAAGCAGTGATGCTCGCAAAGAAGGTGGCGTGAGGGATCTATTTTCCTCACGCCCCAGCCGCAGTAGAAGGAGACGTGCCAAGCTTCGGGGAATCGAGGATCGCGAGACGGTATTTTCTTTACGAAACGTTTTTCTTTTTATAAAATACGATTGCAATGTTCCAATCTTAACCATACGTTGTATTTAAAGAAATTGTAATAAATAAGTAATGGTAAGTTTTTTCGGTTCATACTTATAGCTTCATCCCTCTTTCTCATCCGGAAGATTGACGCTTTAACACGTCAAGCCCCCAGGCGACCACACGCCCACCTTCTGAGAAGATCCTGATCCTTTTGACTATGTTTTTTAAGAGCTAATAATAAAATAATAAGTTTCCCGTCTAAGGGCTTATCTGGAACCCCTTTTACCGCAGATGCATATGATGGAACTGTGACAGTTGAAGTTGATACTTTACTATTGTCTTGAAACATCTGTCCGGTCTTGTTAAATATACTTAGTTTCCTCAGTAGATGGCGTGTATAACGGCTTTGACTCCACCATCAATATTGTTTATCTTTCTTTAACAAAATAGGACATTAAAAATAGGTATTTTCATATCGAATATAATTACTTACATTGTATAACATTAGAAAATAAAGGTAGGTACCCACTTATAGGCAAATATTAGATTTACATTTAGGTTATCAAAATGCTATATATTCAGACGGACATCGGAACAATGTGGTGGGCAGACGTGCCTGACCGTATACTGTTGCCCACTTTCCATAATCTGTGATAAAATGGGCAATATTTTTCGCATGTCGCGCCGCGCCGTCAGTGTAAGATAGATCGACGGGATCCTTCCAATGTGATTTATTTCCCTATATGTTTGTGTAGTCTTAGGCAACTATTATAGTCTTCAATGAGGCACCGCGACCTCGGTCCTGAGCAGGAGAAGGAACGGGGGGGTTTTTAGTCAGTAAGAGACTGACACTCCCTCCGGCCCGGCCCTGGGCGGGAGAAGTCATTTGATGATTTTTCCCTCACAAAAGAGGCAACTATACTCTTATGTAGTCTTAGAACAAGGAGTGTAATTTAACTAATTGATATTCAATACTTCTACACGGTTGACGTAGTGGCTGCATAGGCAACTGGCTGCTGTGCAACATGTCGCGGGTTGAATTCCCGCACGGAACAACACTTTGTGTGATCCAAAAATTGTTGCTTCGTGTCTGGGTTGTTTGTGTATGTGAATTTGTATACTTGCACTAGTACTTAGTCCGCCTCTTCGTCGCACGGCTGTTGTAAACCAATTTATTTTTACTAATTAACTACACACCTCGGTGTAACTAATTTCTTGTTGGATAATATTAGCGAACCACCACTTCAACAGTCCTGAGAATAAGAACCACGTTAAAAAAAATCGGAATATCTCGTTGTATGACCGAGGGAAATTGAAATTCATTGTAATAGGTATCCATACATAAATATTATTGTGTGAGTGGAAAATCATTCAAATGACCCATCTTGAGTGACGCGGGTTTCATAAGTTTGCCCTTTTTATGTGTTAGGTCGGCAAACGAGCACACCAGTTACCTGATGGCCCGATGGTTACCTACTCACGACTCCGGCACGTCGGTGACCTGACCTGTCTTATGCCATGAGCGTACGGCGCGTTGCCGTTGACTTGGCCTTATGTGGTTGATGTTCAGCGCTGGTTGCGAGGTAAGCGAATAAGGCACCGCGGCTTGGGCCTCGAGCAGGAGAAAGAACGGGGGTTTTTAGACAGTAAGAATCTGACACTACCTTCCACCCCACCCTGGGCGGGAGAAGACATTTAATGATTTTTCCCTCACAAAAAAGGTATAGTTATATTATACATATATGTACCTACTTATAAATGTGTAAACAACTATCGAGAATAGCCTGAGCCTCCCTCTTTCCGCTGTAATCGGTAAGATCTTTTGTAAAACTCTCAAGTTGTTGTGTAGTCGACGACGGACTAAATCGTGACACAGTTGCATATTATACATAATATTAAATGACAATGAAACAAAGTTGAGTGTGCCTGGTCGGCCATTCAAAGACACTAGCATAAATATTCATTATCATTCATCAAAATAATTGTTTATTCAATTATTCATTTGACAAATGCATAAAAATAGTTCAGTATAATGAGTGTGCCATCCAACGTCCAGTCGAAACCTGGGGCCCAAATGTGCTAAATAAAAAAAAACGTAGATGAACACATCAAGATCTTATTGCCACATTTATAACGATCGGTGCATGTTACCCTATTGTCATGTAATTTTGAGGTTGAACTTGTTTTAATACTTACTATAAGGTCGTTGAAATGCATTGGGTTGTAAGGGACACATTACCATCTAAGTACCCTAGGTAACCTCACCTATTCGCGGTGCATCCTGTCGATTAGCTAACGAAGCTCTGGCGACCGACTCATGGGTGTCTACAATGTAGGCGTAGACAAATTCAGCAGGCTAGCGTCAGGTAGCAGCGTCACTATGCGAGGAGCCACGCCCTACGATCACTAACCTGCCTACCATGTCCAGGCAAACGTAGTGCAGGGCGCTGTTCAGCTAAGTGGACTGACAATATGCGCAGTGTGGCTGGCTGGTTCTGATTATTGAAAACCTAAACCTAGCTTTGTCTGTATCGATAATGCAGGGGGTGTGAAATAGCCGCGAAACGCTTCGAGAAAAGATATGGCCGTGCCCGTTTTTCACCGTTTTTACACCTACGTTACGTTGATTTTCACTTACATCACATCTGTAAATGGAAATTTCCTCCACTCGTTATGATATAATGATCGTCGTGGCTTTTTTATGGCTTATTAGCTTGCAAAACAAACGATGTGCCGCCGCACAAACACAATGTTTAATTCGAAGTATTATTGATGTACCTACCTTTTCCGTAATGGCTAGTGTTTCTTCTCGTTTTAATATTGCATTTGATATGCGTGTGTTTTGAAGTGTTGCTGGGTCTAATGAGATTTGTTTTTAAATGTTAAAAGAAGCAAAAGTTACCTATTGTTATTTTTTTTAAACAACCGAAATTAATCATGCAGTTGACAATTCGATTAAATTGACAATAGTGAATTGTTTTATGTTGCCATTACTTAACCAAATCCAACGATATTCATGTAAAGGTATGGTGATTAATTTTACCGCGGCCAGAATGAGTCTGATCCCCTCATCTTGGGGTAATGGCAATTTTATTCTACTATACCGTCATCTGTAGTTAACGTCGTTTAAGTAACTTATGTACATTTCTGACTAGCCGTTAATCATTTACTTCAAATCAAAATTTTCACCTAAAAATAAATAATGTATTTAAATATTGGGTAGGTACCTAAATAAATGTAGATGTAGTTTTGTTGAAGCGAGAAAATTAAACCCTAATTTATTGATTCAAGTTATGGCGAGTACAAATATAACCTTTGTACGCCACTGAGCTCGATGTTCGACTCTTCTCATCCAACCACTGCCGGCTACCAAGCGGATATCGTCAGTCCACCTAGCTGAAGGACAGCCAACACTATATTTGCTTAAACGTGGCCTCCACCCTAGAACTCGTCTACTCCATCGGTCGTTGGTTCTTCGACAATGTGAACGTGACCTGTCCCACTGCTACTCCATTTGGCCAATACTTTGGGCTTTGTCGATAACTTTAGTTCTCAGTCTGTTCACCTCATTTCAAATACGATCCGTCAGAGAGGCTCCAAGCGTAGCCCTTTCCATAGTTTGCTGCAAAACTTTAAATTGGTATCTTTTACATGTCTCTGACATATTATGTTAAATTCTCTCATAATGAAACTACGTTTTGTTTTACAATACACATATTTTAGTTTTCATTAAAATCAACAATGTACACGTTTGGCCATCTATCATTATATTTTCATTTTATCATTGGTTTGACTTTGTACAATTTGTGAAAGTGTATGAGTGATTACCTTCAATTAAACTATTGAGTATTGAGTGCAAATATATATGTACCTATTATAGATTAAGAGTGCGTCACTAGTTCAAGCGCGCTAGCTCGTCCCAGAAGTCACACGTTGTCGAGTTGTCTGTAGTATCGTAGCTGCCCATTCTTTATTTATTTCTAAGTGACATAAATAGTTTCATTTACATTTATTCAATGATTCGTATTGCTGGAGTGGATAAAAACGTTTGTGCTTGTGTGAGTGTATTCAAAGTGAGTTTAGATATTATTAATTTTAAACAACGAATATGGTGAATCGAAAATTATTAATCGGGTTTGTGATTATAAGCATCGTTATTTTATACACATTTTTTTATGATCTGAGCTATTTTAAGGAAGTAAGAGATGTTCATGAAGAAACACGAACAAATGTTTCATTAAAATATATTCTGGTTTGGACGTCACTTAAAACTGACCCATTGTTTAATTTACGAGTGGCTAGAGATGCTTTCATTGAGCGAGCATGTCCTATTACGAACTGTTTTGTGACGGGAAACAGAGAGTTGTTGCATGATATAACAAAGTTCGACGTGATCGTGTTCCATGCCCCAGAATTTGTACAGAAGGGTGTGCAGTCGTTACCGGCGCAACGTAAGCCGCATCAGAAGTACATCTTCACTAGTATGGAGTCGGCGGCTTACTATCCAATCTGTAATCAGAAATTGCTCAACTTTTTCAATTGGACGTGGACTTACAAATTGAATTCTGATCTTAACTATGCTTACTTTTCTGTATGGAATAAGAATGGGAGTGTTATAGGACCTAAAGAAGAAATGCATTGGATGAAGGTGGAGGACATGGCGCCAGTAAATGACACATTGAAGGAAATATTGAGTGGCAAGACGATAGCAGCTGCGTGGTTCGTATCGAACTGTGGAGCTCCAAGTGGAAGGAACAAGATTGCCAAACAGCTACAAATTGAACTGCAGACGCATGGCTTGCGTTTGGACATATATGGTTCTTGTGGAACCATGAAGTGTCCAAAATCCAGTATGGACGAGTGCATGCTCAAATTGCGGAGTGATTATTATTTTTACTTGTCATTTGAAAACTCATTCTCGGATGACTATGTGACGGAGAAATTGCTGAATGCTCTCGACAATTACGCTGTACCGGTGGTGTTCGGTGGAGCAAATTATACTAGGTAGGTACTTGTAAAGTTTAAACCTTAACCGTAATAACTTCTTATGCACAAATAAGTAGGCGTGATGTAATTATTACATAGTTTAGTTTCTTTGTTAGGTATACATATCTACATCAATGTGCACACATAGGTACGCTCAGATAAACATATAAACATTCAAACAATCATTGTATTGTGTCAACAAAGGCAGCACGCGTCTAAATTGTAATATTTTTGTTTCATGTTCGGTGGACAAAAGCTATTAGTAATTCAGTTCGACAATATTATACATATACTACATTTTAACCATGACTTTGCCCACCTATACTTCTGAGCGCTTCGGACTACATCTATGACAATTAATGTAACCTTTAATCGCGGTAATCCGAGACAACAATAGGTGCGCGATCGCTTCGCTTGGGGTTTGATAAATTTGGGTGGGTGGATAGATAAAGCGCCATCAGGCACAAAACCTAGAATAAACCTACTTTCATTTTATTGATATACCTACTAGCGACCCGCCCCGGCTTCGCACGGGTTCAATGCTAATACTGAATTTCTCCACTACTTAATGGATGTTATTATACATGAAAATACCTTACTTTCAATCACTTTACGTTACGTCTCAAATAAAGCTTGTTTTCTTTCTTTCGTTACGTAATTTTAAAGATTTAAGCATACATAGGGATACAGGGACCGAGATAGCGTTGTTTTGTACTGTGTAGTAAACTTGTGATTCCATATAGCATATGTTTTCGTTCCTGACTGGGGAGATACTTAAAGTATGTTTACAAGTCTCTGTCGATATACTTTAGGCACAATAACAATGATATTAATCGAATTTAAAAACTAACTACTAAAAAGACCACGTCGTGGTGACAGACAAATAACGTCTTGGTAGCCCGGAGGTTAAGGCGCCCGCTTCTTATGCATTGTCCTTATGCATGTGAGACCGAAACCTGGCAAGCACCAGCACCATGTAATTTTTTCCCAGTTATATGTAATTTGTATGATTATTTATTTTGAGACCACTGACATACGGTGAAGGACGACATCGTCAGGAGACTTTGACGTATAATTTCTAATTGTATGTTTTAAATCGCCAATCCGCCTTGAGCAACCGTGGTGATTAATGCTCAAACCTACTCCGTGTGAGAATTTGTCTTTGCTTAACTGTAGGAACTTATAGGCTGATGAAGATAAAAGACACAATTCCCATTTACTGTGTATCATTAGGTAGGTACTGTTAATGTTGCCGATTGTGGGAAAACAAAAGCCTGGGCAAAATTAGTCCAGGGTGACATCCTGTGCTTTGGCATCTCACCAGAGGACTATAGTTTGTCGTTGGAGGTCAATTTGTGGTTTTATCACAGCCAATATGAGCAACCCAGATCCTAGTACGCCCTACTAGGATCTGAGTATTACGCATTGATCCTAAACATACAAATTAATTAGCATTTAACAGGTTTTATTTGACTTTTACTAATTAAAATCTAGATAAGATACATTAAAAAGGTAATTAGGAGTACTCGATAGTACCCACATGTTATGGCTTTGTTGTGAGCGTCAAATGATTAAAGTAATTAATTTTTAATTAATTGTACTTACAGTTTTATATTGGCTAGTAACCTAAATTTATTATATTATTTTAATTCATTTATTTGTATTGTATTATAATTAGTAAGTTAATAAAATGCGCAGGCATAAGTATTTATCTCGTACCTTATATAAAATTTAGTTTGTTTGCTTGCTTCTTGTGCCAGCCATTCGCTCAACTTTGCATCGCCCAAGGCCCGGCAGGTAGAAAGTTCGAACGTCCGCTATTTACCCACTGTACATAAAGTTTTAATAAATAAAAAAAAACCTACCTTACTTTTTTCACTAACTGAAAAATAAATAATTATACTTTTTAGAAGTATACATTCAGTTTCTGACTATAGTACCTGACTTACTTGACTTAAGTTCCTATATCCCCTAGGTGGGGCAGAGGGCTTCCACAGTATTTTTCCATTTGGACCTATCTTGGGCTATGTGCTTAATTTCGGACCAGGACAGTCCTATCCTCTTTATTTCCGCCGCCACTGTGCGCCGCCACGTTTGCTTAGGACGGCAGACTTTTCGCCTGCCTTGTGGTGTCCACTCTAGAGCTTGTCTCGGTATGTGTGTGGGACCTCTCCTGAGAGTGTGCCCTATCCATGACCACTTTCGGCGTGTAATTTGCTTATCTATTGGCATTTCCCGGCACGCCTTCCACAAGCGTTCGTTCGAGATCTTCTCTGGCCAGAAAATGCCAAGTATTTGCCGAAGGCAGCGGTTGACGAAGACCTGGATTGAGTGAGTGATATCCTTTGTTACCTTCCACGTTTCGCACCCATAGAGTAAGACGGACTTGACGTTAGATCGGAAGATTTTAAGCTTGACTCTACGGGTCAGCTTCTTTGATCGCCATATGGGTCGAAGTTGTGCAAAGGTCGCCCGTGCTTTGGTCACTCTAGCGGCAGAGTCTTCTTCCGCTCCTCCCTCCTTCGACAAAATGCTTCCCAGGTAAGCAAACTGTTGTACACACTGGATTGGCTCCATATCTAGAGTGAGGGACTGTTGGTTTTTCCCGGTGCGCATCTCGTGGGTCTTCCTTGAGTTGATTTTAAGGCCCACCTTTGCCGCCTCTAGCCGAAGGTCGTCCAGTTTGGCTTGCATATCAGCATGTTTATGGCTAAGCAGACACAGGTCATCAGCATAGTCTAGGTCATCCAGTTGATTGTACAACCCCCATTCTATACCGCGTCTCTTGCCGTCGTTTACTTTCCGCATTACACCATCCAGGACGATAAGAAAAAGCAGAGGCAAGAGAAGACAGCCTTGCTTGACTCCCGCGTGAACCGATATCATCATCATCATCATCATCAGCCTATAAGTGCCCACTGCTGAGCAAAGGCCTCTTCTCACGCGGAGAAGGTTTGAGCATTAATCACCACGCTTGCTCAATGCGGGTTGGCGATTTCAAACTTATAATTAGAAATTATAAGTCCAGGTTTCCTCACGATGTTTACCTTCACCGTATGTCAGTGGTGTCTAAATAATCATAGAAAGTACATATAACTCGGAAAAAGTCACATTGGTACTTGCCAGGTAAAAGTCGTGGTGGCCCGGAGGTTAAGGCGCCCGCTTCTCATGCATGAGGGTGCGGGTTCGAACCGATATATCTTCGGAAATTAGACCATTATGAGCAACCCTGCAGGAGTACTTTTTGTACATGGCTTTGAGTAGGTCTCTCGGGGTGGGAAGCTGAGGTATGGAATTGGTGGGTGTCCTGATTAGTGAGTCAGGTCTCTCTACAAAATGCCAAACATCCATCTGCTGTGTCGATGTGCGGGACACTAGAGAAAGCAGAGCCTCAGCCAGTCCGAGTCATCCAAGTCCCCGTCGTCCACACTGGGACCGGCTACAATCGCGCTATCGCGCGACCGCCATCTCGAGCTGTAGTTGCCAATGATGCAGGGCACAGGGCGAGTGTTCTGCGCCTAAAAACAGAACCGTCACTAGGGAGGATACCCGAATAAAACCGAGCGTGTCTGCACACTCTGAGGTGGCAGCCCCGCCAGCAAACTAGGACACAGCGGGCTAATCACCTACTTGTCTAAACTCAACCGATTCAAGAAACTGAAACAGACTATAGTACCTATAAGACACTAATTATTTAAATAAAAATCCTTTAAAAATATTTAAAGAATGATATTTAGGTAGATACTAGATAAAAGTTGCGTTGTATTTAATCTTGTTCACTACACCAAGGTAATAATATCTACAAGTATTTCAACTTCATAGAAACGGCCGAAACGCGAACTATACCTACGCGCCCGATGTCGGGACGCGCTCGGGACGCAGACAGACGCGGCTGTACCGCAGTGACGAACGGACGGTGTGTTGTCATTTATTTAGAAATCAGTTCGAGTACATTATTTAATATGACGAATAGGAAATATTGTGCTGTTATTATGTTTGGTTGCATGAATTCGTCATTAACGCATCCAGACATAAGTTTTTTTTAAATTACCTGGAACCTCTGAAAGGTAAGACTATAAAATAATTTCACTTACTAGTAGCCTAGGTAGGTACATAATGTGTGTCTTTATGGATCATTATTTCCAGTTATCTCACGAAAACAGATGTTTGAATTTATAAATAATATAAATAAAGTTATTGAGACGAGTGAAATAGGTAGTTATAGGCGGTTCTGGTTCTGAATGAATCATGATACGTTAGGTACCTACCTACTTACGCTTGTGTTAAAACGGTTCATGTATGTTTTGTTAGTTTGTATAATTCAAAGTAGAGAGTGTGGTATTTTATTATTAATAATATTTGTTTATTATCTGCGTTTATGAATAATACTAGAAAATATTTAATAACAACAATAAAACAGCTAGACTCATGTAATATTTTGATGTTTGAGGGTTGTGATTTTAGAACATTCGTAGTCAGCTGTTCAGTTCGGCATTAGTGGCCAAAGAAATTTTGTTTGTTTATTTTTAAAGCACTTTATTTGTTTAAATAAAAAAAGGCTATTTACAATCACAAAACTAAATGGAAACAGAAAGTAGACAAAGGTAATTAAATACTGGAGACGAGCAGCCCTAACGCATGTTTACGTACCGCGCGGCTGTAGGTATTTATTTCTTTCAAGCGGCAGAGTTACAATACTGTATGATATTTATACTGTGACTACACAGTATAAAACAAAGTCGCTTTTTCTGCCACTATATCCCTATGTAGGCTTAAATACTTAAACCTACGCAACGGATTTTGATGCGGTTTTTTATAGACAGAGTGATTGAAGAGAAAGGTTTCCATGTGTAAAAACATCCATTGATTTAGACTTAAGGAGCGAGGGTCTTAAGGAGCCGAGGACGATAATCGAATACACACATGTATCATACGACGTTTTTCAACACTCTTTTGAATACATTAATAGGTAGGTACTTAAATAAAAAACGTAAATTGAGTAAACGAGACGAGTTGTCAAAAATGTTTCGTAATGGCGGGAAAAAATAATCAGTACCTATTCCTATGCGCGCGCATCTGCCATAGACTAAAAGGTGATGTTTCTTTTTTTTGGGATTCGGGCCTCGCGAATTGCATTTTAGCGCAAGTGGAAACACAACTCAACCAATGATTTAAAAACAACGATTACTTACAAGAGAATAATAATAATCAAAAAGTAACAGTTTGATTATAGGTAGGTATCATTACGTGTCTAATTGCCGTGGAATTAGAGCCTTTTTATGAGGAAGTTTGTTGAAAAAGAATAACAACAATTATCTTGGACATTGATTATAACACAAAATTCAGAGGGCCCCAGTAAGTTATCGAAATACTTGTATTCAATTTTAATTTTAGTTATTACCTTTTTAATTTCAGATTCATGCCGGATGGAATATATTTGTCAGCGAACACGTTAACAATTAAGGAACTGGCCAAGAAAATGGCAGATATTATAAAAAATAAAGAGTTATATTACGAGTACTTCAAATGGCATAATCATTACAGTTACCGAGATGTAGTTGCTTCTGTAGAAACGGATCCTTATTGTAAATTATGCGAAGCTATTAATAATGAAGAAGAAATGTCGAAAACAACAATTTATGAAGATATTGGAATGTGGTGGAGCCCAAAGAAGTGCCAAGTTAAAACTAATACATCCTTAAACAAACATTAAGCTTGATCTTAGATCATGTACCTAATTTATTAAATATAAATTATTTATAGGTACTGAACGTATATCACGTTACATTTTATATATTTATACTCTTGTCATTAGAATATAGATATTGTAAAAGCAATAAAAGAAATTTAAAATTAATATGAAACCGAATGCTTGATTAGGTAGTTTTTATAATAATTGTTTTGTAGTCGATAAACTATAAATATAAATACCTATATGGTTTCATTTAAATTATTATCATCAGCGCTAAACCAGGTGTGTTTTGAAGTTAAGTTTTACTCTTAATAATGATTTAAAACGTCAAGCCTGGTGACAAATACTTTTGTTCTTTTTTTTAAACCATACGTATTTTTTTTGGTTTTCATGTTATTATAAATCTGGCCATAAATACTGTTAAAATTAAAAATAAACAAAATATTACATTTTATTTGGAATCTGTCATTTTTATATAACTTTTCATTGTGTTTTCTTATATATCGATATTAAAATGGAGTGAGGTGATAAAGAGAACCGAATCGCTGTGATTGCATTACACAAAGTGGGTATGGAGCCAAATGCAATTTTTAAAACTCTTTACACGCTTGGCATTAGTCAAATGTTTGTGTAGGTACAATGAGACCTCCTCTGTTTGTGACAGAAAAAGATCTGGCCGTCCACGTAGCGTTCGTAAGAAAAAGGTGGTCAAAGCAGTAAGGGAAAGAATTCGAAGAAATCCTGTCCGAAAGCAAAAGATTTTATCTCGGGAGATGAAGATAGCACCTAGAACCATGTCGCGTATACTAAAAGACGACTTAGGACTTGCAGCCTATAAGAGACGCACTGGACATTTTTTTAATGATAATTTAAAAAAGAATAGCGTGATAAAATCTAAACAGCTACTGAAGCGGTACGCAAAGGGAGGTCACAGAAAAATTTTGTTTACGGATGAGAAAATGTTTACAATCGAGCAACATTTTAACAAAAAAAATGACCGTATTTTTGCTCAAAGCTCTAAGGAAGCTTCTCAATTAGTCGACGGAGTGCAACGTGGGCATTATCCGACTTCAGTGATGGTTTGGTGGGGTGTTAGCTATGTAGGAGAGACTGAGCCATACTTTTGCGAAAAAGGTATCAAAACATCGGCACAAGTGTATCATATTGCCATTCTTGAGAAGGTAGTTAAGCCCCTTAATAACACCATGTTCAATAACCAACACTGGTCCTTCCAGCAAGACTCGGCGCCGGGTCATAAAGCTCGGTCCACGCAGTCTTGGTTGGAAACGAACGTTTCCGACTTCATCAGAGCTGAAGAGTGGCCGTCGTCTAGTCCCGATCTTAATCCGCTGGATTATGATTTATGGTCAGTTTTAAAGAGTAGGGCTTGCTCTAAACGAAATGATAATTTGGACTCCCTAAAACAATCCATACGATTGGCAGTGAAGAATTTTCCCATGGAAAGAGCGCGTGCTTCTATTGATAACTGGCCTAATCGTTTAAAGGACTGTATTGCAGCCAATGGGGACCACTTCGAATAAGCTTTTTATGTTTTAAATTGTTTTATATTTATGTATTAAACTTACATACTGTAAAAGTAATAAATATTATTTGCAATAGAATTTTTTTTTATTTGTTACAGTATTTATGGCTAGACTAGGTATAGTCTTCTTCCGTCCTGGGTAAGACGAGAGAATTCATTTCATACGATTGAGAGAACCGAAATAAAGATAATCTAAAGATCAAGAAAAAGTTATTTATATTATATTTATGTACATTAAATACAGGATTATCATTTAAAATAGCAACTAAAAGCCATTAAGGTTTAAACACAGCTATCATGAATCTATCTCAAAATCGGAGTTCATAAAATGAGGTTTAACAAATGTAATAATATAATATACGTTAATGTACGCTAACAATTATGAAACACTTTAGATAAACGGTATGTGCATAAACTTAACTTATAGTCCTAAGTAATACCTACTAATAATATTGCTTTAGTTTACATTGTATGTTCTTTGGAGTAATACTATTTTTTATTTCTGAGGGTAAGCTATGTTAAACAAATATGTCTCCGGGACTGCAGGGTAAGTGCAATGAGGCACCGCGACCTCGGCCCAGAGCAGGAGAAGAAACGGGGTGTTTTTAGTCAGTAAGAGTCTGACAGTCTCTCTCGCCTTACCCTGGGTGGAAGAAGTCATTGGGTGATTTTCCCCTGACAAAAAAAAAGCTAAAGTCTAGGTACAATACCCGAGTGCATACAGAATATTCGATTTAGGGCTGATTTTTCAATAGTCAGATAACTGTTATCTTAGGAATAAAATTGTAGCTGTCACTGTCTTATGCAAACATTCTGACGCGACAGCATCATAATTATTCCCCAGGTAACTTTTATCTAACCATTGAAAAATCAGCTCTTTGTTTCTTATTTTTATTGAAAAATTGTTCTTTTAATAGTAAAAACTAGATTTGAGTGTTAACTAGTAAGACATTACAGTGTCAATAGAAAAGAAATTATGTTGGGTGGTCTAAATAAAGTATGACAATAATTCAAATATTAAGTTATAGCGGGTGGCGAGTTTAGCATAGTACTGCTGTACCATGGTAATACCATGGTAGGTCATACTATCTGTTTATATAGGATTGTAATTTAGTCAATATCGATACTTATATATAAAATTTAATTACAAAATGTGTTGTTTTTTATGTGATAGGTCGGCAAACGGATTACCTGATGGTAAGCAATCAGCGTCGCCCATGGACACCCGCAACGACGGAGGAGTTACGAGTGCGTTGCCGACCTTTAAGGGATTAGGGATTTGGAGATCATGGGAATGAGGAGGGATTGGAGGAGGGGTCTGGTAATCACACTCACACGGCGAAAAAACAGCGTGTTAAGTTACTGTTAAGCGCATAACTCAATAACGCCTGGACAATTTTTGCCGATTCTGTTTTTGTCGTATTTATTATTTTGCCGTGCTTATGAAGAACGCATAAACTCGATTTTTGAGTAAAATGAGTTCTATACATATTTGGAATCAGGAGAATGAGACCTACAACTTTTCTTAAGTGACTTTTTTTAAAATTCACAGTTTCTTGGTATATCTGATTTTATAAACGCACTATCTAAGAATGTTATAACAGTTTTACTTCTGGATAATGCAATAACTATAAATGAACACACTTTTATACTAACAATGATTGGTCGACTAATCACAAACGTTATCTTTAAGTTTATGCGTTTATTGTTAGCGATCGTAATGGTCAACATAGGCGGCATACTTATAGATAATAGCATTCATTTGAGATAATGCATTCTTTCCAGTCACGGGACTACAGGGCCCCGGGCCTTTGGAAGGCGTACGAGGAGCCGAAGTCAACTCGCAGAGGCCCGTTAAACAGTTTTAATATAAATGTGATGCATGATGTATGCACTATAAAAGTGCACCCAAAGACCATCCCGGTTGATGCAGGACTATTGTGAAATGTGGTAAAAATTGATAAAATTATTGGTATGGGTTGCTATGGACTAGTGGATGAAAACTACGGAAATACTATGGCCCCTGCCCCTGACCAACATTGATACATACGGATAAACAGGCGGGCGGTGACTGGCAAACTCAATTAATGGGCCCCTGGAAACGGCCGCTAGCTGAGATTGAGCATTTATTATGAGGATTACACGACTAGATTTAATTATCGTATATAAAAAAGCGCACTAATTTTACAAGATTGTGTGTGTGCATGTGTGCGTTTATACTATGTACCACGTACGTCGCGACCGGTGTTAGTGCGTTTTATTTTAATGGTTGTTACCGTGCACGGGTATTTTCGGCGCCGCCACGGACAGCCATAAGAAGAGTAATGAGTGCGTTGTCAGCCTTTTGGGAAGTAGGATTCCGAAGGTTTAAGGATTAGTCAGGGATGGACGGACGCAGGAGTATCACTTATAAAACAAGTTTTCAACTCGTGGGAAAAAGCACAGGATGCCATCGGAATATTTTGTGACCTTTCAAAGGCATTCGACTGTGTTGAGCACGAGACGCTGTTACTGAAGCTAGAACACTACGGCATGGGGGGGGGGTATCCCTAGATTTATTGAAATCAAACCTTCAAGAAAGAAAAATTAAAGTACAAGTCAACAAAGTTAACTCACTGGGTGCTAGCGTATCTATGGGCGTACCGCAGGGCTCAATATTAGGTCCTTTTCTATTTTTAGTTTATGTAAATGACCTGCCCCATATGTTCCAAAATGAACCGCATATGGTATTATTCGCTGATGACACTTCATTGATTTTTAAAATAAATAGACGAACAAACAAATATGACGAAGTTAATAATGCCTTAACACATTCAGTGCCCCCGACGCGTATGTGCGTGCGAGGAAACGCACATACGCGTCGGGGGCACTGAATGTGTTAATGAAGGTTCAAAATTGGTTTACAATAAACAACTTATTACTAAATGATAAAAAGACTAAATGCATTAGATTTATTTTACCAAATGTTAAAAGTAACGTATGTGATGATATATTATTAAATGATCAGAAACTAGAATTTGTAAAAGAGACTACTTTCCTGGGGATCACTGTAGATGAGAAGTTGCAATGGGGGCCCCACATCAGGTCTCTAGCAGGACGATCTAGCTCTGCAGCTTATGCTGTCTGGAAGATCCGTCAGCTAACCGATGCAGGCACGGCAAGACTAGTGTACTTTGGCTACTTTCACAGCATCATGTCGTATGGAATTCTGTTGTGGGGACAGGCATCTGACGTTGAGTCTATCTTTATCTTGCAAAAGCGTGCCGTCAGAGCTATATATAACTTAGGTCGTCGCGAATCTCTCAGAGAAAAGTTTAAAGAGATCAACATTCTGACCTTGCCGAGTCAATTTATTTATGAAAACATTATGTATGTTAGGAAAAACCTACACTTATTTGTAAAGGTATCTGACAAACATGATTATCATACCAGACATAGGAATAGATTGAGTCAGCCTTTATTTAGATTGGCAAAAGTGCATAAGTCATTCCTGGGTTTCTGTGTTAAATGTTATAATAAAATCCCAGTTGAAATTCAAAATTTAAATGAAAGCAAATTTAAATTATGTGTAAAGAAACATTTATGTAAACTAGCATACTACAAACTAAATGATTATATACAAGATAAAAATGCTTGGAGGCTAGCTGGTCCTACTCCACAGGATGTTTAGAGTATTTTTTTTGATTTTAATTATTAAAATGTACACTATGTTGTTAATTGTTGATGAACTTCTAAGATTTTGTAAATGTGAGTGCCCTGTAACCTATTATAATTAAGTAAGACTTGTAGAATATAGGTACTTGTGTCGGCTGGGAGCTGTCATGCTCACTCAGAGGTCTCATTGGCGGTGGCACGGGCACTGGATCGCCCAATTCCCTATAATATGGTTGAGTTGGGCGGTGCTGGTGTACGTGTCATGTTCGTGAACGGGCGCCGCCAATTGGGACTGGTCATCTCCAGGCTGTCTAAATATGTTGTCCTTAAGGTTCACTTCTTTTTCGTACTTTTTGCCTGAACATTAGTGTTACATTGTTCTCACATATCAGAACCGACTAAATGATGTAACAAAAAAATGTATTGTAAAACTGATTGAAAAAGAGTAACCATGGAGTTTCTTGCTCGTTCTTCTCCATAGGAATCTACACTTTGGAACGAGCAAATAGCTTCACTAGAGGACAGACGGACAGACTGACACGCTTAATTTTAAAGCTCTTGTTATATACTTTTTTCCTTTTTTGCTTGCTTGACGTTCAAAAGTGCCTACTGTGGTCTAATTGAAATAAATGATTTTTGACTTTTTTTTTGACTTTTTTGATGGGGGGAGGGGAAAGATTGGGCGTCCATTATTCTATTCATGAGGCTCTGTGGGTTGGCTTCGGCCTCTCGTACACTTCCAAATATCCGGAATCCTATGGTACCATGAAAGGAAATAAACAAATAACATAAAGATAAAAAATAAAACAAGGTAGAAACATATCAACATCCATGACAGAACTGTGCACTGGTTTTCAGTTAGCACCCTTGCAGTGACGCACCGATGAAATCAGCGTTAATCTCAATGTTATCATTTTATCAGCCAATAAGTGCCCACTCTACTCACGCAGAGAAGGACGAGCATTAATGACCCGCTTGCTGAAAGCAGACTGGCGATATGAAGTTATAAGTCCAGGGTTCCTCTGCATCAGCCGGGATTGCGGGGTAAGCGCAATGAGGCAACGCGACCTCGGCCCAGGGCAGGAGAAGGAACGGGGGGTTTTTAGCGGGCGGGCAGGAGAAGTTATTTGATGATTTTCCCCTCACTAAAAAAGGGTTTCCTCTTGATGTTTAGACTGAGGTATCTAAATAATTTCAGAAATGTATGATTCTGCAAATACGTGGATATATTCACATTGGTTCTTGCCAGATTTTGAACTTACACACATCCTCTTGAAACCTCCGGGTGCTGCCCGGATACGATGATAAAAAATAATAATCAACTGTTTATAGTTAGGCATTCGCATAATCGTGATGTTCGTAGCTATGTACCTACGTACCTAATTATTACGATAAGTAATGCTAAAATTATTACAGTAAAAATAAATATCAGTATTGCCTAATGTGTTATCTTTTATCACGGATGTAGTTATATGGTACACACAATATGTGCCCTTTTTTATGTAACTTTCTTTGGACAAACCGGCCACCCTGTTCGTAGATACATTATTGATCATAGTAACAAAAGAAATCATGTTAAGCAAAAAAAAAACCTAATTAGACCGTCAGTCAAAAAATGAAAAAAAAAGACACTTACTTTTGCCCGTAGGACTAAATAAATAATAATTTAATTTAATTTCTCACATTATAAAAATGACAAAATACAGTTGAATTAACGTGAGAGTCTGTGTAGGTGGAATCTGTACTACAGATCACCAGTTTATATGTATCGTCATGACGTCATACCATTTTTGAAAACAACATATTGTGGAACTTACTAGATTCCGTACAAACTACCTGAAAGAAATTTAGTGTAAGAAGTTTAAAATTAATCTAATTTTTTAATAAAAAACGGACATTAAAAGTATATGAATGTCATCAACACGAAAGATGGGCTAAATAAAAAAAAACTGGATAAAAGATTTGTTATCTGTGTGCCCGTGCAAGGTGTCACAATAAAATTGTCGCTTGGAACAATTTTATGAGTAAACCATAGTATTGTTGTACGTGTATATATGTAAATATGTATTTCTAAATTTCTAAGTGCGGCCTCGACGTTTCATTTCATAAAGAACAAGCAACATCCTTCAGTCTTGTTGCTCCGTACAAGTTCAACGGTAGTCCAATAGATGGCGCTTAACCATATTCTGACTATGGAATAAATGTTTGGACCGGGTTGCTGTCCGTTCATTGCTTCGGTGGTCCAGTTGCAGCAATTGTGGTTGGGCAAAGTAAATATAAGTTGTGAGGTGTTTTTCAGGTATTTATGATACTCACTCTAACAGAATGGGAATAATGACAAACTTATTTTTTCGTCATCAGCCTATAAGTGCCCATTGCTGAGCAAAGGGTTCTTCTCATACGGAAAAGTTTAGAGCATTAATCACCACGCCTGCTCAATGCGGGTTGGCGATTTCAAACTTATAATTAGAAAATATAAGTCCAGGTTTCCTCACGATGTTTACCTTGACCTTCACCGCATGTCAGTGGTGTCTAAATAATCATAGTACGTACGTACATAAGTACATATAACTGGGAAAAAGTCATATTAGTACTTGCCAGGTTTCGAACCCACACCCTCATGCATGAGAAGCTTAACCCCCGGGCCATCACGACAGTGGATTTCGATTTCGACAGTTATTAAGTTCCCAGCTAGTTGTACATTATAATTATTAAGGTAGCTACAGCGTACAATTAAAAGAGAGCGTTATGGAGAGTGATAAAACAAATTAGTTGATTGTACATTATAGTATATCAGAGCCTTGTATCTTCCTTTGCTAATACAATAGGGCTATGGTCAGTCGATGCAGCTACCCTTATTTTATTTTATTTTTGTTTTTGTTAAGGAAAGGCGAGACGGAGTTTCTCTCTCTTTCTTACTTAAAAACCCCTGCTCCATCTCTTGCACCTGGTCGAGGCCGCGGTACTGCGTTCGTACTGGCTTTTTGAAGCGCGCGCAAATCTTTCGGATCTAGATCTGGTCGGTAGTTGCCTCACGCGCTTCTCCTCCTCCTTGGCGAGCGTTACTCCTTCGGCTTTCCAGTTACTCTCGCTCCGCACTATCATCTAAACGCGAGAGGTTACCGCCGATCACTTACTTGAGGACATGGCGATGCTCAGCTTAAGCAGGGCACACCGTCACCGTGTCTTACGGGTGGTCGTCACAATGATGACACTGAGGCGTTTCCTCGGCAAAATAGGTACCTCCCGTCACTTCGGTAAGCACCTGCGTCAAGCAGAAGATGAAGACGCCATAGCTACTCACAAGTCACTCCTCAAAGTGATGTCTTACCTATGCTGTAACAGCGTGCCCGTTGTGCAAAGGTTGGCATCACATTTGTGACACTGCCGGTGTTGCGGGTGTCTATGACCGGTGCTGACTGCGCACCGATCTGTGTTAATCTGCCCTCTCGTTTACCTCCTGTACCATAACAAAATGCCTGCCTGCTTTTTCGAGGAGGAAAGGGCGTCACATACATAGGTAATATAAGAACACAATTTACACCTGAATTAATGTAGATAGAAATCTTCAACGTGTAATTATAAATAAACCATAATACAGGGTAAAACAGCATAAAATGGAAATATTTATTATTGTGAGAACATTCCCTGATATACTCAGAAACTCACTATAGATATGCACTAGACGCGCTGATAAACAATTACGATTAGGTGTATGGCATACATACTGCGGCTCTTTATTGTCAGTAGTAATCAGAGGTAACACACCGCACGGTGCCGGGACATAGTTTAGAAAAAATAATCCGCAACCATGAGAGCCTGGTGTACAAAGAAAGCCGTAATTTTTATTGCTGTAGTGCTTATTTTATTACTTTTGTATAACGCTGCAAAAACTGCTAAGGACAGCCATCAAATTACTTCAAAGCATCAAGTAATTTCAGGTAGTAAAAAAACTATTGTTGAATCTCAAACATTTGTTAATAGTGAAGTGCGTGAAAGTGTGAAAAGTAAAGACAATATGAAATACATATTGCAGTGGACATTACCACAAAATGTTCCCTTCGTTTACATGGGGAAAGGCCAAGAAGGATTTGTATCTAGAAATTGTCCATATACAAACTGTTTTGTCACAGCAAATCGGACGTACCTCGGTGATTACACAAAATTTGATGTCATAGCTTTTGCTGGGCCTGAAGTAGTTCGTTATAATAAGGACCGACTGCCACAGAACAGATCCCCACATCAAAAGTATGCGTTTGCGAGTATTGAATCTTCAGATAATTATCCACTCTGTTCCAATTTATTGAACGGGTTCTTCAATTGGACGTGGACTTACAAGCTGGATTCCGAAATACGGTGGGGATATATGACTATCAGAGATAAAAACAAAACCATCGTCGGTCCCAAAAAGGAGATGCATTGGTTAAAGTTGGAAGACATGGAACCAATTAGTGAAGATTTTAAACGAAGGTTAAAGACAAAAACAAAAGCTGCAGCTTGGTTCGTATCAAATTGTTACAGTAAAAGTAGAAGGACGGCTGTCGCTAAACAACTTGATGAAGAATTAAAAAAATACAACTACAGCGTCGATATATACGGCTCGTGTGGAACTCTGTCATGTTCACGTGATAATGATGAAAGCTGCAATGATTTAATTAAAAATGACTATTATTTTTATTTGTCATTCGAAAATTCATTTAGCGAGGACTATGCTACAGAGAAATTATGGCGCGCATTAAATTATGATGCTGTTCCTATCGTCTACGGCGGAGCGAACTATACGAGGTTTGTGAGTTTTAACGAATCATAAAATTGAAGGATTTGCACTATACCTACATAAGCAGAGTGTTCTAATAATCGATTATGTATTTTTCTAGGTTCATGCCAGATGGCATTTATTTGGATGCCAGAAAGTTGTCAATTCAGGAATTAGCTGCAAAAATGAACGAGTTGATTAATGATCCAGATAAATATGCAGAATATTTTAAATGGAAAAATTATTACTCTTATCATCGTCAACATGAAAGCGTGGATACTGAACCATACTGTTTGTTTTGTACCCATTTAAATAATGAAGAAATGGTGAAAAAAACAACAATTTACGAAGACTTTAAACGTTGGTGGACGCCGCCAGGCCGGTGCTGAATATTGTGCCCTTCAAACACATTTTATGAAATGGTAAGGTTTGGACACATTACTAGAACATACTTCTAATATCTTACCTAATATATACTTACCTAATAACAGTATGCTATTGGAAATCAGAATTTATGCTTAGGTACTCTCCGTACAATATGTAAAAAAACATGGTACGTATCGGACTCAATCGATAACTATATTAATACAGAAATTCTTATCACAGCGTTTATACAGATAAGCTTTTATTTACTGATAATATCCCCCTATGAAACGTGCTAGGCCCAGTTTTGAGGTTGATACAGCTGTTAGGTAAATAATTATGAGCGCTAGGTACCCCGTGAGTAATATTATTTTATTTATTACAAGCGACCCGCCCCGGCTTCGCATAAGTACAATGCCGATACCTACAACATTTTTACAATTTTCAATGAATGTTATTATACAGACACCATCCACAATCCCTTCAATCCCTCTATTATTATAAAAAAAACACATCAAAATCCGTTGCTAAGTTTAAAAGATTTAAGCAAACAAAGGAATATAGGGACACAGAAAGCGACTTTGTATTAAATTATGTAGTGATGTATTATGTTACAAAATAATATACTTAGGTATATCCACTTATTTCTTAACACCGTAAATGCGAATGTTTGTGAGCGTAGATGAAGGTATGTTATTTCACGTAAAAACTACTTAAGTATTCAACATTCGTGGCAATATCTCAACGAAATAATCAAAATAACTGGTAAAAAAATCCAGTCTGATTGACTTGGAATAGAATAGTCGTTGCAGGATGATATCAACTGGAACACTAATACAGCTTGTCTTAATATAAACACGTTTAATTACAAACTAAGCGTAATATCCATTTATACCTAATAAAGATAATTTGAAATGTTCGTAAAACGGTGTTATACACAATTAACCTAAATTATTAAGTCAGACTATTTTGAAGGTTGAGTGGACTTACATATTATAAAATCTCATTATTGACACTGATAACGATAACGTGGATAGGTACTAAGATATTTCGTTTTTCACTTTTTAGAAAACAAGAATATTTATTTGCGCACTCGCTTAGGCATGGATCTCTGATTGGTGGATCACATTTAGGTAGTATTCGAGATTCTCACACGAAACAGTACTTTGTGTGATTTCAAGTTGTTGTTTCGGGTCTTCGTGGTGTGAATATGTCTGTTTGTTCAACTTATTATGAGATAGTGAAACGCTAGTCTAGTGGTGGGACGTTAATCTCATTACTATTTTAACTAGTTTCAAGACTTTGTTCTTATTAACAGATTTTGTGGTCAATTTTAAAATATTGTTTTTATCATAACGTAAGTATAAGAATAAGTTGTAGCAAAGTGACTGGTGAAGAGCTAAACAAGAAGACCTAGTTCAGTGGTTTCCTGCTTAAGTCTTTAGTCCAGCAATGTATAGAAGCAAGATAATCATGTGATTGTGACGATGGCGCACATAAGTGACCAACGCTATATCCTGTATACAGAAAACACTAATTAATAGATCAAATGTTGGTGATCTACACTTTCTTTTTACCAAATTTTAATTTGATTTTGTCCGTTATATACGTAATAAATATAGATTATATATGTAATAAATATAGAAATATCGTTTACGAGTACCTATGTATGTGGTTCCAAATTAGTGACAGGAATATCAAACAACCTTGAAATGTATGACTATGAAATAATCTAAACTAATGGATGAATGTATGAATACTGGACCATGAAATTTTCCTATAGTTAAAAGCCACTACATCGGTCTATTAATTGACCTACAGTTCATTACTTTGAAGAAGGTAAGCTATGAAGACTGTATCTACAGTCGACGAGGTAGCTAAGCAACCGGCTGTCCTACAATGCTTCGCGAGTTCGATTTCTACACGGTACAACGCTTCGTGTAATTCACAAATTTAATTATGCTGCTGATCTCGTGTTATCTGATGTAAAAATGAAGGTGTCTCTGTAAACGCACCCATGACACATGAAAATGCTAATGTGAGGCAAAGCATAAAAATTCCAGAAGAAAATCTTTTACATTTTATTATTAGAGATTAGGTACACGATTAAGTTAAAAGCTATCTAAAATCACAGTAACACTTTTAAGATGGGATCATGCAGTAAAACTACGACACAACATCATTTATATGCATTCTTGACTGTTTATAACTCTTTAGATAACACGAAGTTAACTGCAAGATAGTGTTTGCAATTCTATCAACATATGTTACTCATGTATATATATTTTATTTAAGCAAAATTCTGTCGTTCACTTATGCTACGTGCACTTGAGAGATTTTTACGACAGTCGCCCCAGATCACTGATCTGTATTGTTTCGCAGACTGCAGAAGCAGTCTAGTTCGGCAGACAGTTACACGATCATCGAGTCCCCTCACGTGTCTTACGGATATTTTAATTTTCAGTTCACACGCTAACCATGGTCTTTCAGACGGTCCATTAATATTTATACCGTCGACTGGTGTATATTGACCATATACGCGTAACAGTAACGCCATGGTTCCTACAAGACGTCATCCATGCACCCATAACGAGATGGTGCCTATGAATCCTAAGTAGATACGCCACAAGACTGGGTAACTAACGGAAGTACAAAGATAATCTCGATACATACATCGCTACGTCTGCTTTGATCTCCAACTTGAATCAGCAAACAGTTGTCTGAGTTATAATGTCAGTTAGTCAGCGATTGTTGGTAATTGTACTTCTTATTCCGCGTGGACCTCTTGCAGATTTATCAGTACATGCACCCGATACACGTGTGAGTGATTCCCTAGTTAACATAATGCATGGTTTTGTGTTTGTTGCGGTATTTTATACTTTGTAGAGTAGACTAGCGAATACAAGATGTTCTGTTCTGCAGAATGATAAGTTTACTTTTACCAAGAACTCAAAACAAACTCTACCATTTAATTAGCAGTTGCAATTTACTAAACAAAATCCACAAAAAAAGAAAACAAGAGTATAATAATAGCTAACCATCATTGTAGCTTTCATCTTTTCATTCGCTTTCCGCGATCGTCTATATACATAAAACTTATCAGATCGCTTACGAAACAGTAATTAAAACTAATTTGTCGGAAGCAAAACACTACTCGTGTAATTTTCAATGAACACAGAACATAAAAATTGTACTTTCTATAGAACTATTTGAATATGTATAAAGTATTCAATTATGTTCATTAAAGCCATATTAAAGGCTTACATCAGTTTTTCTTGGCGCTTCTGTCTGCTAATGGCGCCACAGTACTGAATGTAAGTGCGCTCAATACTTCAAGATAAGCTATACTTTATATTTGGCACATGGGCGCATTTGGTCACAGGTCAAAGTTATAATAGAACTACTTTGTCCGCGTGGAATGGTGACTTCCTGCAGATTTTTTGTTAAAATACTATCCTATGCCCTTTCTCGAGTTCCAAAGTTTGTGTGTACCAAAATTCACACAAATAGGTTCAGTGTTTTAGTCGTGAAGAAAAGACAGACAGATAGACAGACAGACAGAATTACTTTCGCATTTATAATATTAGTTTGGATATCATAATTATATAATTACTATCCTAGATACGGGTACCTATAAGTTTCGTTATTTTAGAACTCCATTCATTCAACAGTTCCTAAAAATTAAGAAGCTGCGGGAAAACTTAAAAACCTATAATCATTGTACATTACTATTCTCAAAAGACATTATTTAATAACGAATCATAATTCAATACTGATACCCTTTTCATTACAAATTCGATACAAAATAACTTCTACGTTTCACAGCTCCGACTGGACAACAGGACTAACTCCTACAAATGTAATTAAAGACTATTAAAATAGACAGGTCTTAAACATGTAATTATTTGCAGCATTTTTAAAACAATTATGCGCTACGTTTTGTTAATCTATTTAAATTATCCGTTGAGAAATTACACGTTTAGTGGTTGTAAAAAAAGTTGTGGCTCTAAGCGTGCGTATTAATTATTCTAATTCATTCTATCCCCGGAGTTAGTAATAGGTAGGTAGAACATACTCAATTGTAGGTTAATCGACACACATTGTAGGCATAAAATCGATAATGTAAGAATCTGGTGTGTTTCTCACAATTACTGCTCTAACTTATGGATTGTATTTGATTTTTATTGACGTCCGATTCCATAGAGCTCCTTGTACTATTTATGGATTTCGTAATTACTGTATTAACTGGAAAAAAACTTACATTTTTATCATGAATTAGTGCATAAACAACTGTTTACCAGTTCATTGACCTTGGGTCTCGTCATAAGTCGATCCACCGATGTTTGACACTGCATAGACTGCACAAGTGAAGTGCACAGTTGACGGTTAGGCTGGGCAACCTGGGTGTGTAATGTGTAGCCGGTTCGATTCCCACACGAAACCACTCTTTGTACAATCCACGAAGTGTTATTCTGTGTCTGATTGCAATATATTGCATGTATCAAATTGTATGTTTATAAACACACCCACGACACAGAAGAAAATTCTAGTCCAACAACGACATTGGAACATTATTCTTTATATGAAAACAAAATCAATGACAAAAAGTGACTAGTACCTTACTAACACAAAAAATCAATTAAGAGTGACCCACAAACTTGGTCTGTTCAAACACAAGTGGTACACGAATGTATAGAGGATCACATGTGCGTGGCCTATACAAACAGTGACGCCAAGGAGAGAGCCGGCAAACATTGTCTATTTTTTGCAAAGAGAGCTGACTTTTATATAAGAAATGCCTATACATATACTTAGTTTCACTATAGAAGTATTTGTCGTAAAATAACTTTTATATCCGGTTGTCTACCCGATAGTGTTCTAGTTTTAGGTTATTTCCCGAAAATAGACGAGTACGGTTGGAACACTTATGAAATTACTTCGTTCTAACTGTCATAGTGTTTTTTTGTTCTGGCAACCACACTGACTGTGACAAGATATTGGACTGGATTATTAGATAATAGCATTACGTGGCTTAGCTGTACAATGGTGTTAGGGTTTAGATCACAAACTGAATTTTAAGTTTGAAACGTTTATTCTTTTCGTTGCTAAAATAGTGAACTGTAAAATTGATAGTAGGTATCTTGAATGAGTTTTGTTCCATAAAATTTTAATGTTTTACTTTATTTAAGAATTCAATATCTTTGTAGAATTGTTAAAAAATATTTTCTATATATTAATTTTCTACGGGATTGTCAACCAGCATACTTATTTCATCAAAAAATAACTCGACCAACGAATAGTACATATAAGTTAAATCAGATAATGTAAGCGTGATATTGTTTTTAACAAATATTAAATATTGCGTCTAAAAACCCAAACAATATGTATATTTTTTCCTATTTATGTCAGTTGTGGGGAACTGTATAAAATACCAGTATATTCATAGTATACAGTTTATAAAAGAAAAACTACGTAGTCAGTGTATAAAAATAATATGATACATGAGCTTTAGCAAATGTATTGTAAAAAAATCTATCCTAAAAACAATTACACTCTACCAATTTTAAAATGACAAAAATTTCTTTGAAGTAACTAGTAAAAGTTAAAAATTGTGAACCATTGAGGTTCACAATTTCCGGTTTATTCAATAATTTAGATTCTATGCTATAAATTAAAGCAGTTCTCAACCATTGACCCTATTCTACAAAAATATTTTGGTCATTTGAAAATTGGTAGAGTGCAATTTCATTTTTGACCCCTGACTGTACATCCATGCATTCTTACAATCTTTCACATCTATATTTGTAGGATATTATTAGTACAAATAATGTAAGTAATAATATAAGGTTGCCAACTGAAAACCAGTGTTGGGTTCTTATTGAGCCCAACTTATACATACTGAGATGGCAACCCTTTTGGCATGGGTATGCTACTTTTTTGTTATGTTCAAATTTTTAGTTGTTTAAGCACTTTTTTAATATTATTTTATACGTTGAGAATTAGGTATTTCAGTTTTAAAACTCAACATTGTTGTTACCTATATGTAGTTTGTTTGTTTTTTTTTTGTACCTTTTTTATTGTTGTATTACTCATTATTATTTTTTCCTAATTATTGTCATGCATATCTTTGCTTTTTTTTCCTAATTGTTCATGCCATATAAATTATGTTTCTTTCTTTCTTTCTAATATGAACAATATATCTTGCATCTCAAGACTGAACGCAACAATGCCTACCTAATACTTTCGACTAAATTCAATTGACAATAAAATACATATCGTATGTAAAATCTATATCATTTGAAAAGGATAGGCAGAAATAGTGGTGGGCGAAATGTTAATGTTTGATACATAAATATAATTTCTGATTGACGTTTATTGAGTCGTTATGAAAGGCTCTGAAGTACAGATATTGGATGAATATTAACCCAGTTTATCCCCTTGTTGTGGTTTCCAATACATGTTCAGGTAGACTGGATATTGCTGTCATTTAAATTGAAGGTAAGTAAGCACGAATAGTAAATTCTCGCTCCAGCTTTCCATTTGCACAATCAGAAATTCTATTTGAGTATTTGATATACATTTGTGTATTGCATTATTTATTTGATATGTTCATAAAGGTTTGTATGTTAAATAGTAATTTATATAATATATTGTGGATGCTTCTTAGTATATAAAGCGCGAATTATTTATAAACATTCTTGCAGGAATATTGCAACGTTCAGGTTGTATGTTCAAAGTCTGATAATATTTTATTATCGCCTTTTCACTTGATGTGCGTTGTAATGTGATAAAAACAACTGGATTGGTATTTGTACAGACTTTAATTTTACTCTGACACTACCCAAGTAACATTAAAATTACATTAAAATGCTTTAGTAAAAATATTTTTACCAGACAGTTCAACACGCCCTGAGACTAAAAGTATGAAATATAATTATATGAATTTCGAGTACTAGTAATTTAAGTTAATTAAACGTGGTTACGAAAATTCAACTTAATCACTAAAACAACAAAGTTCACTTCTACACTAGCAAACATAGAATGTATACACATATACGCAGATTGAATAAATACTTCTAAAACGCAAGTCTACTTAAAAAGGCCAATATAATTTTTATACAAACATATTTAAAGTTAGTTAGTTAGTTAAATTACTGACTGAAAAAAGGAACAAATAAAGAAACATAAAACAAGCTATTATAAGTAAAACGAAGTTTTTACACCATTTTCAATAAAGAAGAAAAAATATTCTTGATACGATAAATTTCTCTGACGAACAATAATGTACCATAATATTATCTGTGTAGAATACAAATTCTGTTTTCTTTTTATATGGAGGTAAGGCCTCGTAAAAATACATATTTTGTATTACTATTTGTGGCATTTCAAACTTTTTATTAATGTGTAATAAAATTGTTAGCTACTTGTAATGGTTTTACTAGGTAGCTTGTTAAATGAGACTTTTCTGCATTGGTGCAAAATTATACTCTATTATTAAAATATAATTAATCGCCATTCACATAAGCATTTCTCTCACCTACCTGTCGTTGTTACAAAATAAATTCAACTTATTTTAGATTCGTATTCTCATTTCATTATTCTAACAATGAGGATGTATGATTTTTGTGCAATTACTGTATCATCTATATTTTATTACAATAAAAACATTGATGATATCTTAATCACAATAAAAAAGAAGTAACAACTCCAATTCCTTTTAACATTATACCATTTTATTTTTAAATTATTTATTGGAATATTTTTTAACAAAAAAGGTTGATTGTCATTAAGTTTTAATTGTCAACAATTAACAACAATAATCGATTAAGAAGTTTCTCCAGTTTAGGTTTATTCAAATTTAAAAAAAAAACCACTTGAGGTTTGTTCAAATTAATTAGTTGTACACTCAAAACAGACATTGTGACTCATCAAGCAAAATTTTATATTGGTCCTAACATAAAACAAAGTCTTCGAAAATTATATCTAACTTTATATTTTTCCTCATATCTATACCAACATTATAAAGGTAAAGAATTTGTTTATTTTGCTTGTTTCATCATCATCATCATCAGCCTTTTGTCGTCCACTGCTGGACAAAGGCCTCCCCAATTGCACGCCACTGAGCTCGATGTTCAGCTTGTTGTTTGAATGGGCTACCTGGCTCCGGAACTATTTATCTAAATTGAAAAGTTTTGTTCTAATTTATCGAGCAAGTCTATAAAACATCACGCTACGACAGATAGCAATATTCTTTAAAAAAATAAAAATAAGAAATCATACCAAAAGAAAGTACAATAAATTTTACATTTTTACAAAAGTAAAACATACAAATAACATCGCGTAACATACATAAAATATTACAGACAGCTTTACGCCGACTCCTTATAAGGTGAGATGCGCAAACGCATTTATTTCGAATCAATTATAAAATATTTATCAAGGCTGGCCATCAGGAACACGGGCAGTCGGACAACAGGTAAGTACACATTGCATAGGTTGACATTTAACTTGTACAAGATATTGTGGAGCAATTCGTTAAATTGCAAAAATAATTGCCTGCCCTTACGAGTGGTGAAGTAATCGTACAGTCATAGCCTTTAGTGACTAAATCATTTGACGTTAAAAATATAATCATCAACCACGCCCGAGCACGCAACTGAACTTTGTGTAAACGGGACCTGTGTCGGTATAAGCCCAAGCTATCTAACTAAGAGTTTTGGTAGGATAAAGAATAGTTAACATATTAAGTGTGGGAGCCAAGCTTCGGCGCGAATGGGTCGGCTCGACCGGAGTGATACCACGGCCACACAGAAAACCGGCGTGAAACAACCACAGCGTTGTGTTTCGCCGTGTGAGTGAGGTTACCGGTGGCCCAATCCCTCCCCCTCCCCCGTCCCTTCCTAATCCTTAAATATTCTAAACCTTTATCCCTAAAAAGCCGGCAACGCACTCGACAACAACTGCTTTGATGTTGCGGGTGGCCATGGGCGGCGCTGATTGCTTACCATCAGGTAATCCGTCTGCTCGATTGCCGATCTATAACATAAAACATATCCTAATGGGAATGCTATGGAAATGGACACAAATATTTTTTCAAAGGGAACTTCGGGAATAAATATACATATGTATAATGAAAAGATGTTAATAGACCTCTATTTTACCCATCGTAAGACTAGTAAGTTCTGTCAGTCTTTTACTCACACGCAATAAAAGAAAACTAAACATAAATGAGTCTTTTGTGAATGGAATATTTTTATACAATTTTACAATAGAAGAAAAACATAATAATTGTCATTATAATTATTTTCAATATGTGAAGAATCCTAGAATAGACATCTCATATTATTATTTATTACGCGACATATAGTGTATAGTTCGTTCCATAGTTAGAGACAACAATTTGACAACAGCAAATGTCAAACTACAAAATAATGTGGCCAGATTTTTTAACATAGTGATGGGCCCGTGTACGATGTTTTAAATAAAATACCGATACCGTTTTTTTATAAAATACCCTGAGCAAAATAAAACAACGTTGCGGTGATGTTTTTTATAGATTCTTCGAAGTAATAATAATAATTTAAAATAAAAATGTGAAATCCAAGACTGGCCAAAACAAAAACATTATATTTGAAGAACCTGTGCTGAAAGCCGAGCTTTTGGAGATTTCCCGGAAAGAGAAGAGTAATTATGAACGATACGTCGTGGACTGATGGCTGCTAAAAGAGGGTCACTATTTTACAGTGCCTCCTTACCATTATGATTTTAACCCGACGAGTTAGTAAGGGCACAGGAAGGTACCAGGGAAAGTAGCTAAAAATAATAAAGCTTTTAAAATGCACGAAGTCCAGAATTTAATTTCGGTCAATACCGGTCGCGGGGCTTCACTATTTATAAAATGGAAAAAACTTGCAACACTCGAAATGTTAAATCGTTGTCTCTAATTATGGAACGAACTATAGATATACACGTATCAATAACCTCTCAGTTATGTAGCAACAATGCAGTAGGTACCTACCTACCTACCTGTAGCCATATATATATGCGCAATAAAATTCCACTTCAACACTGTACAAAACACACATTACTGAAATAGAGACGATAACAGAATGTCACTCATAAACCTGCATGTCGAAAAGAACCTGTCGATACATAGGTTAATACTCAAATGAAAAGTAGTATTTGGACTTGTTCAACTTTCACACCTACATAAAATCGGTTACTAGAAGAGCCGAGATATTGATTAGCGTCTTACGACTAGTGATGGGTCGGAGATAAATACTCGAATACTAAAAACTCGAGTATTTATCCGAAACTGATAAATACTTTTTACTCGTATAACCTTTGCAATGGATGCAGTGACGTCACCGAACGTCTGGCTTGCTGCGACACAGTGACGTCCAAATAAGCACCTATGCCTAGAGCATCTTCTTATGATTATTATAATTTCCTACAATGCAACCTAGATGCAGACTTATTATTTGATGGTGTCAATATTATATCAAGACATATTTTGAGTTATTTAAAGAAATCTAATTAATTTTATTCTTATTTTTATAATAATAATTTGTCTAATTAATATTATTTAAATTATGATATTTAGCATAACATGGTAAATTTATTATTGAAGGTATATTAAATATTGTAAGTTGTATAGCTGTGATAATTGCAAAAAGTGTTCTCATTGATGAATCTAATTTAATGTACCTACTTAAAGTATATATTTTCGATTTTCATAAACGTAATTGTAATGTAATTTAACGTAACATTTAGACGATTTGGTCTCGTACTGTAAGTCTCTATTTTGTTGAAATTATAAATAAATAAATCTTACAAAGAACGAAAAGGAAATATTAGCCTTCTTGCCGAATTACCGCAATATTGTCAAGGCCAGGAGTAGGGCGTTAAAGTCTGTCTTACTATTATTACCACCGGGACTTCAAACAAAGACGGGTGCGATCTTATTCGAGTTAGACAACTCGAAAATTCCCGGTATTTCTCATGTAACTGGTAGCGTGAGCGATAACCCTGACAGCCAATCGATACTGCAATGTTGCTGCCCATATCAAGGCACTATTTTCATATAGAGCCACTCATTTTGAGAAGCAGTGTTAAAAACATATCCGCATTTAGCCATTTACTGGTGCGCTAGTGAGAACTAAACGGCTATTAGCTTTCTAGTACCAATTCCAGGTATTTCAAGGTGAACTAGACCGCTATCCGAAATGCACCGATCACGATAATAATTATGTGATTCTGGAATATGACACCCGACCTTATGACCTTACTTTTAGGCCAAGTTAGTTGCGGTACTTTGCTCACATAATAAATAAATCTTTGGTAAATAAAGAATCTAAAATTGTAGAAATACTCGAATAAAAATCGATATTTACTGAGTATTATCAAACTTGAGTATTTATTTTATACGCATAAAATCCCAACACTACTGACGACTGACTACAAACGATCTTACTCAAGTCAAACGGTCACAGTTGGCTCAACGGTCAACCTGTCTAAATTATAACAAGTTTTTAAATGTGGAAAATGCGTAAATTTACAAGCAAAATAATAATATTTGCAATGTTCTCATTTATTTTTATAACAATGTTTAAAAAATATATGTCGTCTCGAAGTGCGTTGTTAGGTAGTGATGCGTATCAGTTTAAAGCTAAGATACAGGGTATGAAGTACATTTTATTGTGGACTAGTCATGAGAACGTACCGTTTTCGCACATAGGTTTAGGCCAAACTGGATTTATTGGAAGAAAATGTAAATATACTAATTGTTATGTTAGTGCCAATGAGAGTGAATTGGGCAGTGTCACAGCATATAACGCGGTACTGTTTGCTGGGCCTGAATTATTGGATGAAAACATATCATTACCTGAAGAACGGTTGCCATCTCAAAAGTACGTATTTGCAAGCATAGAATCTCCAGGAAACTATCCTCTGTGCTTCCACAATTTCAATTCGTATTTCAATTGGACGTGGACGTATAAATTGGAATCTGACGTTCGTTGGGGCTACATTGTGGTAAAAGATGTTAACGGCAATATTGTTGGTCCTAAGAAAGACATGCATTGGATACCGTGGAGGGATATGGATCCTGTGGATGAGGAATTTAAGTACCAGCTGAAGAGTAAACGTAAGGCTGTCGCTTGGTTCGTCTCGAATTGTCGTACAAGAAGTCGCCGCGAGGACTACGTAGCGCACCTTAGAGAGGAGTTGTTAGAAAACTATGATTTAGATGTTGATGTTTATGGAGAGTGTGGAGCGAACACTTGTCCTCGTGATAAAGAAAAAGAGTGTGATGCAATGTTATCCAAGGACTATTATTTTTATTTATCCTTCGAAAATGCCTTAACTGAAGATTACGTGACGGAGAAGTTATTGCATCCTCTGCAAAATAACGCTGTACCCATTGTTTTTGGAGGAGCTAATTATAGCAGGTATAATTATGAACTTTAATGGTGAATGCTAAATAAGATGAAAACGTAACAACCATGGAACTTCTAAAAATAAATAATATTATATTTTTTGTTTATTATTCCCTTTTAACGGTCAACCCATATGTCCTACATTTCAATTTATCGCCTAGTAAATATTTGTAAATGTTACTTTTGTTGAAATTTACAATTTGTTGTTCACAGATTCCTGCCGGACCGGTCGTATGTGAATGCCAGGGGTATGGGAGTATCACAATTGGCCAACTTGATATATACCCTGATTCAAGAACCAAGTACATACGCCGAGTTCTTCAGGTGGAAGAAGTACTATTCGTTCCACAAGACAACGGACTTTAAGGAAACAAATGAGTATTGTAAAATGTGTGAGGCGTTAAATAATAACGAATTAGTGAAAAAGCATTCCACGGTATATTTATTCAGTGAGTTTTGGGAAGTGTATGATACGTGTTGAGAGCATGTACATAATAATATTATGTAGGTTATTTTATTTCACGTCGAAATATGGTCAACAAAAAGCGATGCACAATGGCATGGCCTCGACCAATACGATAAAATGTCAATTCAGGGTGCTGTATTAAATGTAGACCTAAGTGCTGTAATTTATATTTTAAGCTATTTTTATCACCGTAATTTTTACCTCATTATAATAAAATACAGGTTAATGACAGTTTATTCTGTATGGCATAATTGTTGAATGAATATTTGGTATGAATTTATTTCTATACATTACAAATAAAAGCAGATTTTGAAATTACGTAAAAGACATGGTTTTATTTGATCGTAAAATTTCAAGATATTGCTGCAAGAACTGAATTGTGAGTTTGTGGTACAATTTCATGCATCAAGAATTAATTGAAGTTTTATCGTGGCACTCTTGTGAACGAACCATGTTATTTTTGTTTACGTCAATTGGATTTACTGACCATTGATAAGCATGTACCAGACCTTAGGAAGGTCCTACACGTATCAAACCGGCTGAAAGTAATCTGATGATTTACCCCTGACAAAAAAACAACGATGCGCTGTCATCCATGTGGGTTGCAATATTGACCCTTACTGACGTTTCGGATCAAAAGGTTTTTGTCACTTTGTCCGGAATAACACATTATCAGTTTTATCTTTATGGTACATATCAGGTAGCCTGTTATGAGTAGACAATGCAGTCGTGGCCTTCCTAACATGTGGTATAACTTATAAACCAGTTTATTGAACTAAACTGTGGTATCATTTGTATACATTAAGTGTGGGAGAGTCATGCTTCGGCACGAATGGTTGATACCACGGCCTCACACAAAAAATCGGCGTGAAACAACCACCGCTTTGTGTTTCGCCGTGTGAGTGAGGTTACAGGAGGCCCAATCCTTCCTAATTCCCTCTCCTAAATCTCCAAATCCCTAATCCCTAAGAGGTCGGCACCGCACTCGTTACTCCTCTATCGTTGCGAGAGTCTTGTTTGCTAGCCAACCACATAAAAAAAAAATTATTTACATAGTGTTCCTATGATGTAAATATGTAGCCGGAGCTGTGGGTCAAGCTCAATGAGGTGCCGCGGCCTGGGCTTGAAGCAGTAGAAAGAACGAGGTGGTTTTTAGTCAGATGAGTAGCGAGTCTGAAACCCTCTCGCGAGTGAAATAATTACCTAGATGATTTTCCCCTCTCAAACAAAGTAGACATGTTCCTATAAAACGAAAAATCCTTGAGTCAAAGCTAACTTTGATGAATGTCTAATGATAATAAGTATTTTGTCATTGTATAGTTAAACACCTAACTGTAATGTCACAATTCAGTTATCGTTCATATAGCAAATCCTTCTCGGATTATCTTTGAAATTCATATTTGTACTCACGATTACCATACGAGTGAGAATTAGTAGTTGACGTAATGATAAACATAATCATCACGACCGTTTCTTTAGTGACCTTTGCAGATATGTGATAATAGTAGGAACGATGAAAGATCGATTAAATGATGATGATGATCGATTTAAATATTTTTTATGAAATGTCAAAAATGACAATCAAAGTCAAATTCAAAATAATTTTAATTTGACCATTAAAGATAAAAATTACAGTGTGTCGGTCAGTCCTTTAGTGAATCTTCATCACCTGCTTAAAAGGAGGCTAATATCTCAAATTCTGTAACCAATTAAACCATTTAAAATATTGCAATTGAACTATTTTGACTAAAGACTATTTGATCAATTTAGTTTTTCCAAAGTGATTCCAATGGAAAGTAATGGGCAAAAAACTCCATGGTTAATCTTGTTCTATGAGATTACTAAATTGTGATACTAATTATCAAGAAAAATAATAATTGTAGAATCAATGAGAGTGCAGTAATTTTTGGTTACACTAATAGAACTATTTATATGGAAATGATTTTTTTTATTGTGCCTATCGTAATTGATATAAACTAAACTAAATAAAAAAAGTAAATTATTTTACCCTTTGTATTTAGAAATTCGGTACAGAAAAGAGACTACTTTAAAATTAAAGTATGTATAAGTAAAACGCCATCGCCGTTGGATTGACTAGTTTAAAAAATAAAGATATTTTTACGAAGTTAATCTTCACCATTCGTTTTGTAATATAATACTTTTCAGGACTGTTCTACAATGGTAATAAGGTAGAGTTTCGTATAACAAGTATTGTGTTAACTTTATAGGTTATTATCTGTCTAGAGAGGTAAGCCTCCCGGTCCCGGCGTCCGACTGACTCCGAGGCTCATAAATAGGTCAAGGTAAGCATTGGCCGGGTTTTATATTATGTTACGAGAGATTTCATAGTGAGCGTATTTGCCTTTTTTTATTTATTATAAGTGCACTTTATCACAATTACTTACGTTTCAATTTTCAAAAATCAATCAATTACATAATTACACTCTTCATGACCAAACCTAATAATAATTATTAGTTCCTACAAAAGTCCTAAAATTTTCTATGTCATGTTATATGTATATTATGTGTGTATAAAAGTCTAAGATTTTTTTTGTATTTCATAGAATTTGTAATATTATTATTGTTGATTTTAATATTATCGCATGATTCTGAAGTTATTTAATACCAGCATAGAGTATCTCTATGATTACCAGGCAGACTAAAAAACTAGTTTTCACTTAAGTAGGTTGTTTGGCTGTATTTTTTAAGGATTTATTTTATTTTATTTATGCTCTTTTTATATTAATTTTATAAAACATAGGCACCGATACTTTCTAGTTGATAAATATCACTAAAGGTACAGATAAATAATGGTTAAAGGCGAACTCATCAGTTTATCCTGTGGTCAACCGTTTTTTGCTTTTCACGAGTCCGCAAAATAAATCGAACTTCTAAAATGGGCGAGAGCTAATATATGTAGAACTCTTGAATAAATAATGAAGTTAAAAGATGGATTATTGCAGAAAATAGAAATAAATCTTAGAGGAAGGTAAGTGAGAGCTTTCATGTGTACTTGGAGTCAGGGGTCAATAGTGCAGCTGCCTTTTAGTAATGAGTTTCAACTTTTTGCGTGGCTGATTCATTTGTAGTATAAATTCTAATGAAATGGCTAAAAGGTTTTTAGACCATTGAATACTCATACTCAAGAGCCATGCTTCTGCGCTTATGGGCCGGCTTCACAATATATCAGCGTGAAAAACGCTTGGGTTTGTTTCGCCGTGTAAGTGAGGTTAACGGAAGCCCAATCTTTAGCCCCCATCCTCAATCCATAAATTATTAGGGACTTATAGATTGAGAATTGGGAGTAACCCTCAGTGGGTTACAACCCTCAGTGGGTTACTCCCAATCCTTGTAGTAGCTTCTTTGGTATTGCGAGTGTCTATGGGTGGCGCTTACCATCAAGTATAATACGTCTGCTAGTCTGCCGATCTTGCTTATAAAAATTTAACTTCTACTACAAATACATTTTACACATTAAGGCATTGGCTGAGTGCTAGTATAAATATAGTAGTATAGGGTCGTAGTTGAAATATAGTTACCCATTAGTCTATTGGGTATTGGACATGCAAATTGAGAACATTTTCCTGCCAGTTGGACTATCGGCAACACCAGACGTAGTTTAGTTACTATTAAGTACCGGCAAAAGAGTAGAGAGATAATTTATTGATATGATAACGGTACAAAAATTGTCATTTCTTATTTATTTTAGTAAGTTTTTCTGCGGCGTTGAAGAGTCTTTAGTCATGACTACAATTTATTTTCTATTTTTGTAGTAGTTAACTCATCTCGCAGAAAAATATATCCACTGTGTAAAGCTACTTATGGATACGTTCTTCCTTAATTATAATTTTATTTATAGGTACTATTATAGGTGATGAGTAAACCATTATTATTTTCAATGGGTACATATTATAAATCAATTGCCGTGGGTAATCGTGTTAACTTAGTTGTTATTGTGACCGTTTCACAAGGTATTCTAATGGATATATATTATACAGGCTTTTTTTTCTGATGGGAAAATCATCAAATGACTTCTCCCGTCCAGGGCCGGGCGGGAGGGAATGTTAGACTCTTACTTATTAAAAACCCCCCTGTTCCTTCTCCTGCTCTATGCCGAGGTCGCGGTGCCTCATTGCGCTTACCCCGCAACCCCGGCTGAACATCAGCCCTATAGGGCCCTGTCTGTGGTGGTCTATTGGCTCTTTGAGGCGCGCGCGGAACGCTACGCGCCGTTCGCTCGGGACATTATACAGGCTGAAATCGAATAAATGCGACTAAATGAAGTGGGAGCTTCAATTACAGTAACATGTAATTATAAACTGGTTTTCTACAATCTAAGACCATAAATAAAATGACGTGATTATCGTTTTAAAATGGTCCATTGACGTTGTTATCTTTATTTAAGTACGAATTGTCAGTATTCCAGATAAAATATTAATAAGAAAAATTAAAATATCAGAAATTTCGACCGACATAACGCAGTCCAGCAAGTTATTAAGCGTTGCCGTTCATAGTGATCATTCACCTCACCGTGACACTTAGAAAAGTTTATTAATTTTACATTTGAGGTGTTCTTATTTTTTTGTACAACACGTATTATAATTGTACTTTGAAATTGGTCGCATCTATTCAATTTCATCCTGTATAAATTGCCGTGCTTAAGTGCATTAGTTTCGTGGTGGCCCGCAGGTACAGGCGTCCGCTTTTAATGAATGAGGGTTCGAAACCTGGCAAATAGTAATGTGAAAATTTCCGAGTTAAGTATATGTAGATACTTTCTATGATGATTTAGACACCACTGACAAATAGTGAAGGAAAACATAGCAAGGAAAGTTGGACTTTGAAATCACCAAACCGCTTTTTGTGCAAGCGTGTGGTGATTAATGCTGGAACTTTCTTCGTGTGAAAAGAGGACTTTTCTCAGTAGTGGGCACTTATAGGCGGATGATGTGAATTGCATTAGACTAGCTATTGTTTTGGTAATAAAATATATTTAAATGACCATTAAACGCCTACAAGAAATTCGTTAGCAATCCTACAATTGTTGTTTATCTACCTCACACTTTTTTATTCGAGGCAAGGCAACATTTTTTAAAGGAAAGTTATATAATTTTAGACATTATAAACAAAGATGTGAGGGTGGTATGGGGTGGAAGCACTCGTCCCTTTTAAGAAGTCCATAACACTCCATTTTTGACCTTGGCTTTGATTTTTGACGGCTGTACACTGTACAGGGTGTAGTATCTCGAATTATAAACTCGTTGAGTATTTGTTCACAAGTTATTCACATTTGAGTACCATTTCGAA